TATTTTTGTAATGATCTCTGAATATTATCCAAATATTGCCTCAAACTTCACTTGAAAAATTTTATTTTAAATATTAAATGGGTATATATTTATCTCTTAGTTTTCCACACTATTTTCTTTACGAGTTCACTGTGCCAGTATTTATAGTATTTTTAGACGCCTTACCTCCTTTATTAAATATTTTACTTTTCTTAAACACAAACCGCTCGAAATGATGGCTTTTCTTTTCGTAATTCTATTGCAAAAGTTTGTTGTACACAACCCTAGTTAACATACACTCGTGGTCATGGTCTGTGGCTTCAGTCTTGTTTTCGGAAGTTTGTATGTTTTTAAACACAGTTGTTATGTTCGGCTAGTCGGGCCTTAAACGAATCGGATTTCACTGGCTTCTTGCAACAGTATTATTTTGAATGTATACCGTATATATTATCACTTTGTATTTGCACTGACACTTTAAATAACATAATTAAATGAGTAAAATTTTAAATTTTGGGCATTTTTTTGTAGCCTAGCCACAGCCACACATTAACCGTACCGTAGTCAGCCTTATTGTGGCTTTTGTTTGACTTTCCTAGGCACAACACAGCGCTCTTTTTCTAACTTATCGTGTTGCGCACGCGCGCCTTCGGTGTTGCAATTTCTTTGGCGACCAGTTGCTGTTGCTCTTTCGTGTATTTTGCCGATTTTCAAGTGTGGCTCTTGGTTCGGCTCTTGGGTTATTCATTCAGCGCACAAGACAGTCTCGGTCGGCTCGGTCTCCGCTTACCCCAAGTGTCGCTAGCGAGCTCCGTTTCTCGACTGAGCTCGCCAAGTGCCGGATCGCGTACTCGCAAGCTCTTTCCGTCCAAGCCCGGCTTGCGCCAGCTCAGTCACCGCGACGTCACGGCGTCCCTTGGTGGCTACTCCGCTCGAAATAATATTCATTTAACGATTTGTGCAATTTTTGTTGTCTTCTTACCAAGAAAGAGCAAAAAAAACATTATGATAGATGGCGGGGAATTTATCTATAAATGCGACACAACATAGCTTAAATATGTCGGGGGTCTGCGAGGAGTACAAGGTACAATTAGCTGAGAATTACGAGGTGTTTTTTGTCCCTTAATACACTTAAATCCTAATAATGGTTATAACCTGTTTTGTTTTTAATTTATTCATCATTAACCAATCTAATATTCCCTGCATTTCATTTCAGGTATGACTTTATAGGTTTTAATCATCTAGATTCTAGAAGAAAACTTTGTTGCAAGTAAGAAATTCTAACAATAATGATGACATTTGCACAAGCCGAATTAGATATTGCTATTAAAAGTTTGTAAGTTCAGATGCCATTCTTTGGAATGAGGAAGCTCTCGAATATAGAAAATATTCTGGCTAATGTTTTGGAACACAAAAAATATATATCCAGAGTAATGAGCTTCAGTTTTACGAGGCTGATCTTTGAACGCAGACTAGAACCCTGGCCACAGGTCGGTATACAAATTAGCCGTGTTGTCATCAACAATTAGCTGTTTTAGCTGCGTCTTTGAAAAACAGTCACTGCCCCAAGAGGAGATAACTAACTTGTCGTGTTTGCAAATTATTTCCTCACCCTCAAACTCGAACCCCTTTTTTTGCCCAATTTTCGATACAATCTGCATACTATTAACCCATTTACAAAATATTTAACCCCAATTTACCACATATTGGATTTTGAGATGCTGTAGTTTTCAGTCGGAGTTTGCTTCGCGGTGTTGCACAAGTTCGCAAAACCCAACAAGTATATAAATTGGCTCAAAACGTTCAGCTTAGCCATTGTCTTGCCCAAGCATAAACTTTATGAGACTTGAAACAGGCTTGTTTGCTCACATTTCGATAGTTTTGTGTTTGAAACAATCGCTTCTTCGCAAAACAAAAGAAAGCAAAGTGAAGATCAAGTTTTGGGTTCATTCCATGACATCTGTCTATAGCTATAGCACTGGCACTGGGTCTGACTCTGACTCTGACTCTGGCGTGGTTTATCTTCTGCCCTGTTTAAGCCATTGGCTTTTAACATATTTTTCGTGTTCAAGGCCGTGCGATGGCGCTTTCTTTTACAATAGGCGACCTTGAAGCTGCGACTGCGCAAGCGCGCTTGGCTCTCGGTCTCGCTTCCACTCCCACTCCCCAGCTAGCTCTTTCTTTCCCACTTTTTGGCCTGGTCACCATGGGATGGCTTCAAAAAAATCACAAAGTCTATTTAATAATTTTTATTACAAGTTAGACATTAAAAATTAATATAATAGCTAAACAAATAATATAATTTTCTTTAAATATTTTATATTTTATAAATCTACAAAAATACCTATAATCATCCCACTGTCCAGCACCGTGCAGTGGTCTGTTAGCACAGAGAGGTTGTCGGCCAACCGACAAATTAACCCACTTAGGGTATGATGAACGTGCTGCTGCCCAATGGCTGCCCATTTACCCGCCACTGCACCTGTACATCACTTGGCCGGCCTGCCTCCTCCCTCCCTGGCGAGTTATTAAAAAGACAAAGCAATTGGCAACGCTTAGCCACCGATTAAAATTTTTTTGTATCATTCCCCCTCCTGCCAGTGTAATCTTTTCATCATCATTTTATTTCCATTCCTCCAGACAATGATTTGTTTAAATATCTCTGTTTCTGTTTTATTATTCAGCTAGTAGTACGAGTGTTACAAAGTCTATTTAATTTCCTTTAATGGCAACTGCGCCGTATTTTGTTTAGAAGGCATGGCTGGCTACAAGCATCTCCTGTCAGTGCAGCTAACATTTCCCCCACGTTCCGGCTGCCGGCATTGATAATTACTTCTTATCACAATCTACATTAATTAAAATGTAAAAACTATCTGGAATGTTTAATGTGAATCAATGAGATACAATAAAAACTAGAAAAAATAGGTACATGTCATAGTGGTTTTATCCATGCAATGGTTTTTAATAAACTAGTAGGGCCATAATTTACAAACCCATCTTGCTACATCTGGTACCATATTTATAAAGGCACATCTACTTGATTTTAATTAGCAAAACCTGTAGTGATATTATATTATAGATGACCAATAAAGTTTCTTTTAGAAGCCAAGCTAATCTACTAATTTTTATATATTATACCTTTTTTATATTTACTATTATTCTCATTTTATTTATATTATTATTCATCATAGAGCTTATACTATGTTACCTTTTTTAAAAACATATACAAGAAACAACTTAATTCCAACAGTCCGGCAACTTTTCTTCGACGAATTTAAATATTTATTTTGAGCTTTTGCCTAAAGCCAGTTCGGAAAGCTCTTATAATTTCTGGAGCTAATCGTGACTGGGTCAACTGAATACGTATTAAGCCAAGTTGGGATTAAACATTGGGATTTCAAAATATAAATCATAGCTGCGGAAGTCCTTCATAGGAGTTTCTATTACTTTTTATAATCTAAAAAGCATCACTGATTGCCTCAAAATAAACCAGAGAAAATAACACGTAAAATACATTATTTTTGCGTAAGGTCAACAAAGCATTTATAAGATATAATTATAGAAGACAATATTAAAAATTAGGATAAAGTACACCAAATAATATTTTAATTATGAGGAGAGAGATGGAAGGGCTTCTTCAATAAATAGTAATTATTCCTACCTCAAAGGAATATTTATTTAATTTATTTAATTATTTAAAAATAAAAGTAATACTCATTTTCTTATCAATAATAATGGAGAGCCCCCCTGAATGGGAGTGGATTAAGCGGAAGCTAGTGTTAAGTAAAATTCCGTCACGTTCCGGCCCCTGTCCCGATGCCTGGATGCTCCACAGCCCTCAGAGACGCCGACAAGCCTCGAAAAAAATCAAGACCCGCCGTGAGTCAGCTCATAAGAGCAGCGTCACTTATTTATAGACCTCTTTTAAATATTTTATTTAAATTATTTTTGCGCGTCGTGTGGTCAACAACCGGTATCAAGTTCGAGAAAACGGATATGTTTTTGCATACAAAGTCAAACACTCGTCTAAAGTCTCTTTCTGGGAGATCTGGGCAAACAATTAGCTATTATCGGACTTGAGCATTTCGAGCAACAATTACATTACAAAACTCACTTAAGCTTAATGTGCAAATATTTGTGGATTTATTTTTACTTGTTTTCTACGTGTTCAAAATCGGGCTTGAATAGACGAAGGTCTTAACACCAAACGACCTATAATTATAGGCAGAGGCGTAGGCTTGAGGAAGTGTCCTAATTTTAAATTTATTAGAGAGGTAGTTATAAAGGTACTTTGCTGATCTAAGCCTGGTCTTTTAATTCTAACTCCTTGTAACTCCCATGATAGAATCTTAAATCCTTATCTACTCCTCTGTCTTCGTATTATCGCTCCAATTTATTTATAAGGTGATTTTGGCTTCCACAAACATGTGCATTACCGTGTTGTGGATAGCACAAGGTAATTAATTTTTATATTAATTTTATTTTGCTTAGGGCGCCCATACCCCTTACTCGGGAAGTGTAAGCACTTTCGGCGTAAATCTTAAAAGGTTATTCCATGTAATAAGCCATAAAAAAGATGATTCTACTGATTCATTATCTTCCGCTTTACTTTAGCTGCTTCTTTTGTTATAAAACTTATTTATTTATTTAATTAACTAAGCCAGTTCCTGTTTAATTCCAAAGCAGTGAGTACTTTGCCGTCGAGCTTCATATGGTATGGAGTTGTTTTTTGCGTACATCTTTGAACTCTGGGCACTTTGGGTTTATTTTTGAGCTGCCTTTGCTATCAGGCCGCTTTTTCATTTTTATGACTGTTAATGTCTCGGTCAACGCTTTTAAGTCAAGTTCTGAGCTCTGTCCCTAGTCCGCCCCTTGTCCCCGCCCCAGCCGGTGCGTTTAATGGAAAGAACCGCCAGCTCGCCAGCTGTGGATCCAAGCCGGACCCACCGTTCGTATACGTAATTTTTGGGCAGGCATTAAAAACGCGCGACGCATACACCTTTCGGATGAGAACGCGTTCAGAAGTCAGTCGGGTATGAGCGTGTGAAAGTGAAGTCGAGTCCGAGCCTCAGTCCGACTTGGGTCAAAATAGTGCTCCACGGGCTGCGAGATCAGCCATATTAGTGGTCTTCCTACCCGAACCAAGAACTTCCCAAGCAATCAATCGCAATGTCAAATGTCACATACCTTCAATGGGGCTTATTGCTGTTGCTGTGCTCTGCAACCGAGCCGGCCAACACCCGGATACGTCGACAGAACCGATCGGAGAGGCTCTTGGCCGACATCGGGGTGCACCCCCAGCTATACAACCCGAAGGCCAAGAACGGCATACAGCCGTACACCTACATCGATCGGAATCTGCGGCACCTGTTCCTCAACACCAGGCAGTTGACTCTCAAGTGGGCCCTCGGGAACGTCAAAGCGTTGAAGAGCCGGGGCGAAAAGGAGGGAAAGCTCCAGGTCCAGGTGCCGAAAACAGAGCCCTTTCCCTGTCCTCTGAACAACACTCGATCTAGTAGTCCCCCCACTTCGATAGAGCGTCTGCGACCCGGGGACATAGACATTATAGCTGCCTTCGGGGACTCTATATCGGCGGGCAATGGGATTCTCTCCAACAATGCCCTCGACATGATCAACGAGTTCCGGGGGCTGACATTCTCGGGCGGTGGCCTGTCCACTTGGCGCCGCTATCTCACCCTGCCCAACATTCTGAAGATCTTCAACCCTAACCTGTATGGGTTTTCCGTGAGCAACAGCTTGGTGGTCAACCACAAATTCTCCCGGCTGAACATCGCCGAGCCGATGGTCATGTCCCGGGACCTGCCCTTCGAGGCCCGCGTGCTCATCGACCTGATGCGCCGCGACCCCAACGTGGACATGAAGCGGCACTGGAAGCTGCTGACCATCTTCGTGGGCAACAACGACATCTGCTCGGACATGTGCCACTGGGACAAGCCCGAGAGCTTTCTGGACCAGCACGCCAACGATCTGCGGCAGGCCCTCCGGCTGCTACGCGACCACGTCCCTCGCCTGCTGGTCAACCTGCTGGTGGTGCCCAACGTTCCAAAGGTGCTCAGCACCATGAGCCAGCTGCCGCTGCAGTGCTACATAGTCCACCGAGTGGGCTGCCACTGCCTGGTGGACCAGACCCTGAACAGCACCCAGCTGAAGGAGCGGAGCAGGACCGTGCTCCGGATGCAGCAGTTGGAAATGGACATTGCCCGGCAGCCGGAGTTCCAGCGCGATGACTTCGCCGTCGTGGCCCATCCCCTGATCTCCAACATCCAAGGGCCCATCCTGCCCGATGGTTCCACGGACTGGCGTTTTTTCTCCCACGACTGCTTCCACTTTAGCCAGCGGGGCCATGCCATCATCGCTAATCTTCTGTGGAACAGCATGCTGCTGCCAGTCGAGCAAAGACCGCGACCCGTCAACATGCCAGATCCGTTCGAACACGTGATGTGTCCCAGCCAAGAGCAGCCCTACTTCGTGGTTAGACCGGGCTAAGAGGGTCGGGCCGGAATAGGTGAAGGTTTAAGTGTTCCTGGGTGTTTATGCAATGCCATATCGTGGGGGAAGCACACCACTGATCCAAGTCTATTTATCAAAGCTGGAATTTGTTAAAATAACTTATTTTGTACATAAACTAGAGTTAGTTGTTATCGGAAATAAACTTGTAGTATAAACAGAAAATGTGTGGTGTTTAAACAGAAAATGTGTGGTGTTTAGATGAAAATTCTTCTACATTTCAATCGAAAAAGGTCTAGTATTTTCCATGTGCCATCCTTCGAAGGCACACCACACCCCACATGAGAAATAAAATTTCATTAAAATTACGTTTTGCTTACGCGGCGAGAAAGTACATATTTTTCCGCTTACTCTCAACAACCTTCTGGCATTCTACTTCCTCCTTTTGACGCTTTGCGTGACAACGTCGCTTGCTGGCATCCCCCACTCCCTGCCACATTTTCCGCAAATTATAAAAAATTCAAAACAAAACATCACAAATATTTTCCGCACATGCAGCTAAAAAAAACCAGAGCCACTTGCAAACCGGACAGTAGACTTTGGGGATGGGTGGAGACCCACACCCCATAGAATTCGTTCCAAGCCACGTATAAAAAATATCCATTTGGAAAAATATATAAAAGTATACGGGAAGGGCTTACCTTACTTGGGACAGCGACGAAGCTCTTATACCCTCGGCGATAAACAATTCATTTTTAAAAAATCTGGGGACGGTTTTAATATTTCATTAAAAAAAGGACACTTGCCGAGTTAGAATTAATTATCTCGAAAACCAAAAATCAAAAGTACTGCACTCTTCACACGTTCCTGGGCCCATTCAGATATGGGGATTCAGATATAGAGAGAGTGGAGGAGGCCCTATTGCAAATATCTGCTCAAAATTATAATAATCTCAACAAGGGTAAAAAAAGTGTATATATTTTTGTAAACACGCCCATTGCAAACAAGGTTGTCATGGCGAGGGTTGTTGGAAAAAAAACGGTTTTTTGGGCTGATGGGAGTCTGGGAAATTATATTAAAAATGCACTGTCCGAGAAGGGTATAATACATTTTTAAAAACTGAAATATTTTAAAGAAAGGGTAGCTTTGAAATGGAGTGATTCTGGCCTTTCTATTTCTCAGCTTAAATACCATTCCGATGAAACCACACAAACGGTCTTTATATTAAGTTATTAGACACTAATTATAATTAGGAATGCAGTTCAATATTTAACCTATACATTGCAAAACACTAACTTGGCAAAGTTATGGCACTTAAATGGCTGCATTAACTGTCTGTTGTTGATTTGAATTTCCAATTAACAGACACGATTCCACCATCCATCCCACCCTGTACTAACCTTTGACTGGCAAAGCGCCTTTCCCGCAGATTGTCCCACAACCTGTCAGTTTTCATTGTCGCGGAGCGCTGATTAAAAGACGCACTCCCCTGCCCTGAAACGAATGCAAAAATAGACGCAGTTTCCCGCAGAGGATGTCGCTGGAATCATTGGATAGCCATTAGCCTTCTCGTTGGAGCCAAAGGACCAACTTAGCAGACGTCAAAATCATACCCAGTGGCAAGGGAGACCCTGCCCGGTGCAGCAGTATCCGCGCAGCAAACAATGAAACGCCGTTTCCTTGGTCCGGCCCTCGTTTTTCCAGTCAAGGGGGGACCGCATCGGTGGAAATTGCCGCCTTATTCCGGGCCCGAAAAAAAGCCACCATGGAATGGCATTTGAAAAGCGGCGACGGTTCAAGCTCAAGTAACTTGTGCGCCATTTTTCGCCCGATTTTTTCTATTCTGGTGCTTGTTTTTTTTTTGGACATTTTTGTTGTTTGGGAACTCTTGCTCCATATCCGCCGCAGTCGCTGTCTGGATGACGTTTTAGCGCCGGTCGTTAGCGGTGTCAGGTGGCGGGGATGGGGCTAAGCCATGGAGTGGGACCTATGCGGCTGTCAGTTGCTTTATGAGATGTCCCCGCCTGTCCATCCGGGGCCCTTTGTGTCGGCATTTTCCACCTAAAAGGAGAGCCCTGCCCGCTGTTTAATGTCAAACGTGAATGTCAAGGTGCATTTTGGAACTAGCCCAAGAGTATGATACAAACTAAAAAGATTCGCTTATATCAGGATTACTCCTTTATATCTCCTGAAACACATCCAGTTTGGTTAAGCCCTTGTTTCCCAGCAGCATATGCATAAAAGTTTACATCTTTTCCTCTATTTGCGAATGCTTTTTTGCCATTGTTTGCACTACACTTCAACGCACTTTCGTCATTGATCCGGAGAGCCATGTAACCCACCCAACCCTTCCCTACTGCGTCCCACAGAAATCCGGACCCCGGGCTGGCTTCCAATTCAAAACTGCTGGCAGTGCCGGGCAATCGGAGTGGCGGTTTATTTTTTCCCTCTTTTATTTTTTCATTTTTATTGAATGTGCCTCCCCCGAGTTATATCTTTCCACTCCTTTCACAACAACTGACCAAACACAGGCTAACCCAGGCTAGCCCCAACCCCCTTCCCCCCTCTATATTACATTATGCCGGGACATACGTTTTCAAATTCCATTCCCGCCTAGAATTTTTCTCCCATTACTCATATGTATATACGAGTGTTTGTGATTTTTATTTTTTTTCTCTCTGAGTGGGTTGGGGACGGGGGAGCCCTCCGTTTGTTGCCAGGTTTCCACGTACGGGATACGGCGCTAAGCTTTGACTTGGGATTTGCATTTTTTACGGGCCGAGGACCAACTCGTTCCCCATTCAACAGGACGACCGGGAGCGAGGGTTTGCACATTTTCTGATGTGATTCCGGTTTTTTCTAGCTCCCTTGTTAGCTAGTCGTGGTGGTATTTTTTTTTATTTCTTCAATTTAATATGGTAATAAAAAAATCTGATGTCATAAACCAAATTTATACAACAAATTAATAAATTAAAAGGAAGTGAAGAAGATGTGATTTATAGAGAATAGACTCGAGTATTTATTTCACTTTTAAATACATTACAAACATTCTAAAATCTTTAAAAGAAAGTCCTGAAAGGGCATTTAAAATTCTTTATTGCTGAAGGGCCTTAACCCTTATCTTTTTTTTTCCTCCAAATATTTTTTCCTCCTTCCGCTTGCCATATTTTCTTCATTCGCTGGGTTGTCCTGTTTTGGGATAAAAATCCATTTCATCATCAGGGCTTTGGTGGCTCGCAACCTTCCTGATTCCTGCAGCTTTGTCTGATCGCGTTGAAATTGTAATGAGATTTTCTGTTTTAGGTTGATTTTTTGTAAGAATTATTTTTCCAAGGGTTGCCGTCAATTTTCCGGTAATATGCTCTCCAACCATGTATGCAATGCCGGAGTCTGTCCATTTAATTTACAAAGTTTATCTGCAACTCGCATCTGTGTAGCCGTCTGCTGCCGGTCCGGGCCCTGATTCTTGAACGCGCCCGCAATTTGCGGTGGCCGAGCTGGTTGGTGGCTATGCCTAAAATTCATTATTCACTCATCATTCATAAGCCAGCTCGGTTGTCGCTCTGTCATCCGTTTCTTATCCTGTCCCGTTTTCGGTTAATTTTTTTCTTGTTTAGGACACTGCGTGGCTGGTTTTTAATGGATTGGACGCCTTTCTGAAGGGGGAAAGTGAATGGAGTCGCATTCCGGTCTTGTACGTCCATTGAGTTCATAAACAAAGATTGGGATGATGAGTTGGAAGTGTTATTTGGGACGGGGATCGCTGCTCTTCCTTGAAAAGAGCATGATTTTTGGAAAGAATATCAATGAAATGTGAAGAACTATAGTGACTTTTCTTAGTACTTCAGACATTAAGGAGAAAATATAGCATACTTTTATGGGGTCTTTAAAAATGAAACAAATCGTATTCCCATTCAAATCCTTTATCCTGAAGTGCCACACCCTTGTTAAGAAACATTTTTATGAAAAATATTTGGAAACTAAAAAATCAATAGACCCCGGGTTATTTCAACTATGTATCCTAAAAGTCTATGCACTGCCGACAAAGGAATGTGCGATTTCCAATTATGCGATAGTTTTTCCCCCTCACCGCCACCCTCCCTCCCGAATCCACTGAATCTGCATTTATCGACAGTCTAACCCCCACTCCTGTTGGTCCTTCCGCCCAGTCCTGCCATTTCGGTCGTCCGTTGTTTTCATTCGCGAACAGGGAGGCTCACTAGCAATAGCAAATTGTATTTAAAATTTATATAAATTTCGTCGAGCATTTGTTGTGACAACGTCTGTGTTTCTGTCGACTGTCTGCCCCCGCTTGCCCACCTGCCACTCCTGCTCCTGCCGCCCCCGTGGAACTAACGTTAAAAATTCGCGCAATTTATGCATGCATGGGGAAGCGCGAACGGAAACAGAGCCGGGCGTTTATACATATATATTGTATGGATTGTATGGATGTTGGTATATGTATGGCTGTGCGAATGGCAAAAAGCCTGTGTCGTCCTGTTCCGCCCCCTAACTCACCTCCGTTTGTTGGCATCCGTGCTTATTTTTACTAACGATTCCCCGGCTTGTTTATTTTATTGGCATGAAAATTTATGTGGATTTCCAGCATCACATACGCCCCCTGCCGCATTTTTCCCGCCGGGGAGTAATTTCATTATTATTCTATAAATTGTACGCTTTATGTACTTATTTTATAAATAAAGCCACACCCAAAAGTGTCATATAGACGGCATATGGTAGTGGTTTAATTCAGAACTCCATGATACTCCCCAGTACTTCCATTTCAAGCTACACTTCAATCTTAAAGTTTGTACGATTACTGTCTTGGTGTCTTAGTTTTGAATCAATTGCTGACCTGGAATTCCAACCACAGGCACTTTAAAGTCGTAAAAAATGGAATCTTGTTCAACAAAAACTGAACTGGGCAGTGGATGGCAAAGGGAATCGGTCCAGAAACATCATCAATATGCAAAGGTTTCGGTGCAGATAACACCAGGGACGGTTCGGGCAGGTGGGAGTCGTAGAAAAAGAGGCTTTGCAAGAGGCTGCTCTTCCCGGCTAGTTTTCTCTGCTCGTTCCAATTATGCCTCACACATGCAAATGCAACGTGCAGCAGCGGCAGCCACCACCCAACTACCAATGGACCCTACTACTACCCATCTACCCACTTAATGTCACCCAATCATTCGTCGCGTTTTTGGGCCCGCGAGGCTTTTGTCCTGGAGCGGCAAAGCGACACGAACCAGGCCCAGGCCCTGGACCAGGTCTATAGCTAGGTCCAGGCCCAGAGAGTGCAGTCAAAAAAGCGACACATGGCTACCATAACGAGACTGCGGGTGGATGGGTGGGCGGGTTGGGTGGAATCTGACATGAGTTCTCCGATAGAGAGGGAGATAGGGACTCAACTCTGTTTCAATTTGGACCCACACACAGACGCAGCAGTTTTCCCAACCCCAGGAATAGCCCACCACTGGGCCACCCTCTTTTTTCGCGTAGCACGACGAATTTGGACGAGAGGGTCAGCGCTATATAGTCTGTGTTTTTCCGACTCTGTCGATCCCCGGCAGAGACATCCACATAGTTGTTGTTTTTATTGTTTACCCACGGAAACTCTGTTTCCCTCTGTTGTTGCAGGCAGGCTATGTGCGTTTGTTGCACCAATCGATTTATTTTCGGTTTCATTTCTGATTGGCAATATTTCATAAAAAATAATGTATTTTTTTGTCGTTTTCCCTCGGCCCAGCCCTGCTTGTTTGTGTACATATGTGATTAGAATATTCGAGTATTTGGATTGTATACTTGCTGGATGGGTGGTTGAATTAGAGGGCTAAAAAGTGAAATACACAAATGAATGGGGGATGTGGTTTTTTTTTATTATAAATGCTATGAGGTGAGGTTTTCGGCTACTCCCACTCCTGGAAAAACATAAGCTAGAATGGTGGATATATAATTTTATAAAATTGGCTTACCAATTATTGAAATAAATATTGACGGGCCCTCGCCACACAAAACATTATTGCTGAAAGCAAAATAAATTAAAATTCCCAACTGATAAAATCCAATGCCTTTTCAGTAAAATATAAAATTATTTGTTTTACAAACCTATAATCCCTTGGGTATTTGCAAAGCATTAGTGTTTTTTGAATCCACATTTGGATAGTTTCAATTGCAGCTACCACATTTTGCAATTTTAATTTAAATTCAGCCTAAAAATATGCAAAGATCTGAGGAATTAACAAAGCCGACCAAAACCAATTCCGGAACACACACAGACTGTTTATTTATGGAATTAATGCATAGCATTATTTGGGCATTATATAAAAATAAATTGGATAGCAAAGTTTCGTCCGTAATGATTTCAACTCTGACTGGAATTATGCAGATGCACTCGAAACGTCCTGTTCGGTTGAGAGCCAGACACCATAAAATTAATCATTAAATTCTGAAATTGTGGCCGGGCAGGACAAACGGAATATGTGGCCGGGGGGGAGTTGAGAGCAAACATTTACAAATTGCGGTTTATATTTTATTCATGTGGCGGCCGAAAACGTCGAAAAAATGTTTATTCGTTCGCATTTGGCTGGCTTTGGCAGGCCGGAGACGACTGCAATAAAAATCAGCTCCACCACAGCATTTGCCCGACCACCACACCACCCATGCCCCCACAACACTAATTAAAATGCATAAAATATTATGGTATTTCGTTTATTAATTAAAAATATTACCGTAGGTTTTAGAGACAAAAAATTGAGTATGGTGACAAAAAATACATATTTATTTTATAAACATTTTTAAACAATGCTATGCTATTGTTGTAGAAAATATTTGCGATAGACATCGTCGCCGGGGACAGCGCATCCAGCAAAAAGCTTTATTAATATTAATTGAAAATAAATGCATTTTTCAGTCGGATGACAAAATGGCGGAATGTGTCGCCGAAATTGTTGCAACATGGAAATAATTAAATGCCTGCCAATGAAATATGCAAATGAGTTTTACGGCGCAGACTGATAGGGTGGAGGTGCGGGTCGGAGGCCGTGGTTTGCATCCTCTGAAAGGATAATCAGTATTTTGGGAAGAGATGAACATCAATTCGCTAATTAAAAAGATAACTTTATCAATATTCTCTTGAATAATAAAGGTTTCAATTTTATTTCCAGGCTCTCGACTATGATTGCGAGGTGCAGGGCCAGCAGGACATACCGCAGGCTATTCAGCTCCTCGGGGAGATGAACAGCAATGTCAAGCAGGTGACGGACCTGGTCGAGGGAATGCTGCAGCGCGTCAAGAGTGGTGAGCTGACCACCGAGTACGGACTCAGCTTCCTCGAAGTAAAGTACCACATGCTGCTGGACTACTTGATCAACCTCACCTACGTTGTGCTGCGAAAGTGCTCCGGGGAGACCATCGAGGGCGACCCCTCCATCGAGCGTCTGATTGAGATTCGCACCGTGCTGGAGAAGATTCGGCCCATAGACCACAAGTTGCGCTACCAGATTGACAAGCTCGTGAAGACGGCCACGACCGGTGTCTCGAGCAACACAGACCCCACTCTCTACAAGCCCAACCCGGAGGGCATGATGATCAGTGCCGGTGCCGATGAGGAGGAGGGAGACGACGATTCCGAGGAGGACAGTGACGAGGATGAGGAGGACGAGGCCGGCGCCGCGAAAAAGCCTCGCAAGGCTGCGACGGCGGGCAAGTCCGGAGTCTATGTACCACCGCGCATCAAGCCAGTCTACTACGATGGCGATGAGCGCGACGCCGACAAAGAAAAAAAGGCCATGGAACGGGCCAAGAAGCGGGCCATCACGTGAGTTATAAGCATCTTTCCTTAACTTGACCCTCAAACTAAAACATCCCTTCCACTCAACAGTTCTTCCATGTTGCAAGACCTCAAGGAGGAGTACCTAGACGCGCCCACTGAAGTGTCGTCTGGATCCCGGGCCCAGCAGATGCTGTCCCAAGCCCAGAAGGAGAAGCAGGAGTACGAGGAGACCTACTTGATGCGCCTGCCGGTGACCAAAGCGGAAAAGCATCGTCAGCGCAAGCTCACCACCTTGGGTAAGTTGAATAGTCAATAAAATATTAAGAATTTAAATTAAAAACTTGATTATTTTGTCTACAGGTACACTGGGTGATGAAATCCTGGGCGAGATTAGCCGCGAATCTGCACTGCGAGGCGATGGCAGCAAAAAGCGAAAACTGGCCAAGAAGGGCAAGGGCAAGAAGCGCGGTGGTAAAAAGCGAAAGTTTCACTAATCGGGCAAACTAGAAACAGTTCAAAAAACCTTTTTAAATGCAATTAAAATAATTATCATTAAGTTTTTTTCCGTCAGATTTTTATTGAAAAACCAGGATTGATGTTATTACTTTAATTTGTGTTGAATTTTTAATTAAAATGCTCATTAAAAGTTTCATTAAAATATTATTTTCAAACAACAACGTGTGTTTTTATTTCTTTAATCAAACGTTAAGTTTAATTGGTTTCTTATTTAAAAATTCGTAATTTGATTTTTAGACTTGTAAGAAATAATAACCAGAAAAAAAATAAATTGTATGAAAATCGAACGATATATTCTAGTTAATGCGCATTGTAAACTGCATATTTTCGGCCGCCAAACCATTAAGTTGTGTTAGAAACCTAAAAGATAAGTGTACAAGTACATAAGACCATTTTTCAAACAGTAACACCTTAATTCTGAATAGAAACAAATTTAGTCTAGTACTATATTACCCTGCAAAAGAGCGAACATGAGTTTTTAAACCACAAAATTTAACTTAGGGCACAGACAAAATGAATTTAAGAATGCGAGGATATTTCGTTGTTTTTAGGAGTACCAGAAACAAAATTCAACTTTGGGCAAGTTTTTTATGATTTTAAGGATTTTGTTAAAAGAAAAAGAGAACTACCTTTCAATGAAAACAAAAAGATACATTTGAAATATTCAAAAATGAATAAAGATAACAAATTCAGTGACAAAAAGCAGATGCCTTAAAAAAAGACCGGTTTATACAGTAAGAAGAAATCTAGAACAAATTTTGACAGGAACCGTATCAGCTGGTAGGCGGATCGAAATACAAGGATCTATGGGAAGACTATAAGAAACTATAATAAAATGTAAACCCCACCCACATAATAAAGGAATTAACCACTCAACATGAAGCCCAAACAAAAAAAAGATAGAAAAACATTTTTTGAGTTTGAATGCCTACTGATAAACTCCTAAAAACAACTGAATTAAGATGAAAATTTATATTTCCAGTATAAATAAAATTAAAGTTAAGTGGAATCTTTTTACTAACCGAAAACACAAGAAAGCTACGTCCACTCAAAATATTTTAAAGTTCGATAAACAAGAATTCGCTCGAAACAATGAAATGTAATACATATTAAAAATACAAAAATAATAACAATATAATTACAAGCATATATAAATGATAAATAAAAATCGGATTAGATATAAGTTACATATAAAAAGAATGCAAGCAAAAACCTTTGGCGTTTACAAACAACTTTGACTAAGGATGAGAAATTTTTTCCAAATTTTCGTGTAAAACTTTTTGGCTATAAATTTTAAAGACAAGCAATATTGATCGGAGACCAACGAGAAATTACCATATAACTGCAATAGAACTCGAAATCATTTACCGGAAGCAAGCAACATCTTTTTTAAATGTAATTAAATAAATTAATTTAATTAATTTATTTATGTTGAAAGCTGAAAGACTGAGTATGTTAAAAATGAGAACAAAATGTAACAAAATAATGAACAATGAAACCGAAACCGGAACGATACTGAAACTTTTTCTCAAACGTGTGTATGAAAGTAAATAATTTTAATAGCCGAATTTGTAGCACAAATTTTAAACAACTAAAAACGTATTGGGTTTCGTTAACAAAGCTTATTTCAGAAGAATTTCAGATTTGTATTACATTTGGTTTTGAAGTTTGATATTTTCAGTTCGATTGAAATACGAGTGCAAATTGTTCCTCTTTGTGTATGTAAATGGAAATATGTGAAGTCGGAAAGATACAAAAGTTAAATATATTGCAAAATGTGAAGACAACAAAAACAAAGTGAAAACAACCAAACAAAAGTCGCCTTAGCCAAGCTCCACAAATACGGAAGAAACGATACGATACGAGTCGAAGGAAAACAACCATTTGTAAAACCAAACACAACACTGAACTAACTACTATTTATTTGTAGTAATTTAATGTAACGAACAAAACGAAACCACACAACAGAAAAACATCTACAAAAAAAAAATAGTGCAAACGTCAAAAAGCAAAAAGCTAATAATACTAAAAACTGTAATTTAATTTTTATAGCCAAAGAAAAGCAAATCACAGATACAGGTGATCGATTTGGAAAGGATGCGAGAGGGATTTAGTTTTTAAGCTTAACTTGAAGAGACATTCTGAATAAAGTATATTGGTTACTCGGTGATAAACGTAATCCATGTTTTCAATGAATCCATGACTAATTCGAGCTTAAATTATTTTCCAACCCAGAAATATTCGATTTCGATTACAAATTGCTTTCATTTGTCTTTGAAAAGGGAGAAGAAATTCATTGTAAAATATTCAAAATTCAATTGTGAAAGTGGTTGGACATCAATCTTGAAAACGTGTAAATTTTAATTATTTTTAACCTACCAAATTACTCATAAGCCAGATATTATTAAAATTCAAACACGAAATTCCAAACAAAATCTGCAATTTGAAACTGATTATAAATTACAGAAAAATAAATTAAATAAAAGCAAAAACTGCATTTATTTGTGTTTTTTAAAGAATATTTACTGGGAGAATATTTACTTTGGACATATTACTCATTTATTGAAACCATAGGGATAGTTTACATATTTACAGAATAATTTTAGTTGCTCAGGAAGGGATAAGCCTCCAGCCTCTGGATGCGGTCCATCACTCTGGAAACCTAAGCCAAGGACTCGGCCAACGTGGGCAGCTGCTTCTGCGCCTTCAGCCTCTGCTTCTCCTTCAGCAGGGCGTAGCACTCCGGCACCTTGTTGTAGAAGTCGCACAGCTTGGACTCCGAGTTGAAGGCCAGGTACTTGCCGCAGTTGTAAAGGCGCGGGTGGCCGTTGACACACACGAAGTACTTCTTGCAGGTCTGGGGGTGTCTGTAGTAGCGGAGCTCACCCTCGGGACTGACGTCCACCTCGGAGGCCACACCCTCGGCCTGATCGGCGGCAGGGCAGTTGAACCCCAGGTAGGCCTCTGCGTTGCAGTTGGCCACTAGGTCGGGCCAGTCGCACTGGTAGGTGTCTTCGTTGAAAGCCAATCCCTCAGGGCACTTGGTCACGGTGGCCACGCCATGGGCGCAGTTCCTGTAGACACCGCACTTGGTCTGGTCCCCGTTCGGGTAGAAGCCAAACTGGCGGGGGCACTCGTCCGTGCCGTTGGCTGGCTGGAGGCGGGTGCGCTCCTTGCAGGTGCTAAACGGGGCATAGGTGCACTCTCCAGTGGCCTTAGTACGCTGGTGGAAGAGCAGGCCGTCAGGGCACAGCTTGGCAATGGGAACATCATCCTGGCACTCTGTATAGGCATCGCACTGGTCCCCGGCTGCGAAACGACCGTTGGGCACTGGACACTCCGGCGAGCAAAGAACTGCAAAGAAGAGATTGATATTACGATTTAGTAGCCTGCATAATAAATATTTTAAAATTAATATCTAATTGGTATTTGCATTAAAAGATAATTCTTTACATTTTTTATAAACTTTTTTATTAAAAAAAGCCAAAGGCGAACAATAAACTGGCAAGGTCTTTAACTACAGACTAGAAAACTCGAGCAACTCAATGCCATTATGGCCTGTGTTTGGAAAATCACGACTTCTCAGTTCTTCTTGGCGTGGAGACGAGCGGCCTTGATCTGGGCACCCTTCTCCCGGATGGCACTGCTGCAGTTGGGCACATTCTCGATGTCGTCGCACTGCTTCAGCTCTTGGTTGAAGGCCTGATCCTCGCTACAGCCGATGCGGCGGGGACGTCCCTCAATGCAGATGAAGTACACTTGGCAATTGTCCTTAGAAGGATGGAAAGTATAGTCCGCTTCCTGCTCGCCCAGGAGCTCGGACTTGGGGGCCGGAGCCGGACAACTGAAGCCCAGGAAGGCCTCGGCGTCACAGTCCTCGACCTGGTCGGGCCAGTCGCACTTGTAGGTGGCCGGGTTCCAGGCCAGACCCTCGGGGCAGTCGAAGACAAAGCCGCGTCCGGCCGCGCAGTTCATGAACTGACCGCAGTGGCTGGCATCGCCCATGCGGTAGTAGCCGAACTGGTGGGGACAGTCCTCCGTGGGCTGGGCGGCCTGCAGGCGGGCCGAGGGCTGGGTGCACTCCACGTCGATTGGGTAGCCGCAGGGATAGCCCGTGGACTTCTCGTTGTAGAGCAGGCCGTCGGGGCACAGCTTCTCCTCGGCCACGCCGTTCTTGCACTCAATGTAGGCATCGCAGGATCCTGACACGGGGGCAGTACCGTTGGCCTCCCGGCATCCTCCGCTGGCGGCGGCAGCTAAAATGCGAAGATGTCAGCGGTTAATAAGGTCCTTTCGTACCAAGGTATGAGCTTACCTCTAATGATTTATGATGAGAAACTGCCTTTACATTTTATTTTACAAACTATTATCGAAAACTTGTTGGAAAACTTCACGCATAAAAATGGTGATAATTTATATCGGTTTTAACGCGTTTAATGAAAGTAATGGTTTATAATAAGAAACAATATATTATTTAATATGATATCTTTTAAATTAAAACTTAAAACTGTAAGACTTAAGACTCACTGTTAGTTGATTAAACTGAATCCGCGTGCCATAACGAATGGGTTTTGAAATTATCACTTAAGCTACTTGTTAATGTAATTATTAAAATAGGCATTCCAGATATTAATACGTATGTGCATCGCAGACAGATTTAGTGAAGATGGCAAAGACGCTTGAAGGTCAGAGATGAGCTGAGCTCACATCTAGATCGATCTGTCACCTTCAGGTTCCCTGAACATGTCTGACTGGCTATCTGCGTAAAAACTTGTTTCTGGTCGCAGTCGACATTAAACAATAAACCAATGTGCCAATAGCAGCCAAAGGTTATGCAATATTGATTTTTTTTCTGGCCGCTACAGCATGTGAACTCAATCTTTAAGAGCTGGCGATCGGCCTTGAAATAAAACAAACAAAAAATGTTCGGTAGCTGGGAAGTACAAAAAATTCAAAGTTCCCACACTGTGGTAACCTTTAGCTATGATATGCACTTTTCGCCTACAATGTTTGGCCATTTACAATTCATATTATTTCCTCCTATTGATGAAACTATTATTTGTTAGCCGAATATGTAGCTAAAGCTCCCACGGATGAAAGTATGTAGTGCAGCGATGATGTTGCTCACTTGTATCTATGGTTATGCAAAATACAATTAAGTGTGGGAACGCCACGAAGTAATTGTGGACTAGTGGGTGCAGTGCCATCTCATGGGTACTTATTATTAAGAGTATTTAATCCAAAAAGCTTGGCTCAGATTTTTTTACTATTATTTTTTTTCGTATAGGAAACCAGTTTATTATTCAGTGATATGATATCATATAGTGTTCTTCCTGATTATAGATTATAGTTTTATTATAAAGTAGTAATTAAAAAATTTTGTAAGGCTTAGTCCCTGTTTAGTCCTTAAAGGGAAGGGTTTTGTTGAAAAATATATTTATAGGAAAACCACATTTAAACTTTTTATGAAATACATTATAAAAAATATTTCAAGGAATATAACCAGTCTCTTTTTCTTTTTAAAAAAACTGCAATTTCTGCACTTAAGAGGTTCAACTTTTCCACATCAAAGCGACAAACAAGGTGTACAAAAAAATTTACGTAATATCCTAAAATGACAATTAAATTGTGTTTTTCGTTTTTTGTACTAACCCATGGAGCCAAACATGGCCAGGCACAACAAAGCACTGATATATATTTTAGCCATTTCAACCGGTGGTATATAGACTTTCGATTTCTTAAGTTAAGACGAGGCTAGTGCTCAGCCAACGAACTGACAATTTCGACTGTTCCGCGCTAGAAACGCAACGCTGATATTAACTGGCAAACTGAGAAAAGCAACGGCTCTGCCGAAGCTCTTCCATGATGATCAGCAGCCAAAAGCCGAACTGTCGCCAGATTCCGAAGCTTGCTGATCTTCCCAGGCCGTTGGGGGATTCGCAACACCTATTGCCGTCATCGTCGGTACGAGTATCTGAGTATCTCAGTGTCTCAGTATCGGCGGCAATAAAAAGATACATGCAAATAAATAACCAACATACAAAAAAAGGCAGTCGAATGGCATAAATTTCGACAGAAAAAGCTTGGCTCGGCCCGAGATGAATCAGTTTGTCAGAGCAGCAAGTTCTTCTGCTTTCAGTTTCAGCTAGCAACCGTCTTGGTATTAATCAAAGAAATCTCTATTTAAATAATGATAATATCACCTCCTGAATTTGCATATTTCGCACTTTTGTTTTCGTTGAACAGCCTCAAAGATCGAAAAAACCTGAAAATCCAACCTGAAATAAAGGTCGGCTGTGCCAATGAGTACCAATCTCGACAGTTTTGACAATGATCTTGGAATTATACTTAAGATTAAAGCTGGCACGGGGATTCCAGATGGGCTTGGCTGTCTGTTTCTTGTTACTTTATTTTAATGTAACTTGGCAGACAGCCTTCAAATATGTTTTGAATATTTATTTTTGATTAGTTAACTATTCATAGGCATCTAAGTCATCTATCTAGGACTGTAAATTTCATCATAGTCCACAGATCAAGTTTCGTGGTCATAAAAGAATTCTGAAAGATGATATATTTGGCTAAAAGGCATATGCGTAAATGCCAAAAGCCAGAAAAACTGGTTAATGTTTCCGATGAAATTCAAAAGTTACGCACGTATCTGTATAGATCCAAAGAACAAATTCCGCATTGTTTGAAAATGATGTTTCTTTATTTTGACATTTTTATATGTAAACTCTCTTTAGTTTTTAGTTTTTTTAATGTTCGTGTTTTTATGGTTTCTTAATTTGTAGCTATTAGTCCATGCTCAGCAGATTTGCACTTAACTCTTACAAAAAATATACGTATATTTATATTCCTATTAAGATAGGCTTATGTGAATAAGTCGAATTTCTGCAATTAGAGATAATTGGTCAAATGAGGCCAAGGTATAATCAAATAATCATAAAACTAAATTCATATTTCATAAAGTAAATGGAATTCAACAAACAATTGGCAGGCTGGGTAATATTAAGAAGACTCATTAAGTAACGACGCAAATATTTAATTCACTAACTATATACAAATAAAGATTAATGCGTTTTTTTTACAAATACCCTTTAATACATTTGCGTTTTGATTTTGTGAAAATGATTTTCTTCGCGTGTGCCGGGCAAGGCAAAAGGCTTCCTTGTCGTTAAAAAATATGCCAATTAACTCAGGAAATATTCCAGCTGCATCGGTTAGTGGTTCATAAAAATATTCAATATTTTTTCGATTTTTCTAAGGCACTTTTATACATTTCTTTATTCAAATACCATTCAAATTCTTCCAATTTGTGTATGGTTTATCCGCTCTTGGCTACATTTCCAACAATTTTCATTACGGCTACTGATATTTGAGTTATACTAATGGAAAATATGTATTATAGGTGTCGACCAATCCTACCATAGGTAATTAGCGAATAAATTAAACACAGACTTGGTCGGGTAATGTTTGAAATAAAGCATAGGGGTTTTTTTCTTCAAAAAATACAAACATCAATGGTTGCAAGTTGTTCCCAAGTCACTCTCAAATGGTTTCTCAACATCATTCGCAAATATTTTTAACTTCAGCTAAGGACTAAATTAATTAATTCCTATTTTTAGAAACTAAGATAGCTTAGGTTGTTTATTACTCTTCTTCTTCATTGTGATAAGGCCTACTCAACCAAAATCTTCAGCATTTATCCGGAACTCGAATCGCTAATCCGAATCCAGTATAATTATGTTTTTAACAATTCTATGTGCACAAGTTTGACTTAATGTTCAACACTAATAAAAAACATATCCAAAATTCATTTTACGCTTAGTTTGATGTCTCTGCCCTCGGTCTGTCCCTACACTCCTTATCAGTTACATTTAACATATCCATCTGGCTTTTACTAGTACAAATATCACGGTTTGCATTTACGCTTATTGAAATGTAATCTACAATTGCAATAATTGTCCTGACTACCATTCAGTGTGTGGTGTGTGTTGTTTTAACAAATCAATTCTCAAAGTGTGTACTCTTACATAAGTTACAATATTATTTGTTTGTGTTTTCTTGAAACTCTTCTTTAGCCTTCTATTTTTACTTATTTTTCGATTTCGATTTACTCCTCAAAGTCTATTTAATAGATAGCAGTTTAACACTTGATACCTCATCTACTGAAGTCAATTAATAAATACAAATTATTTTGGCCCGGTAGTCGGTCTAATCTACGTTTTGGTCGTTGTAGTAAGTCTACATTGCCAAGAAAATGTTTATGAACTTGCTTGTGTATTCTGTATTAGAAGTAACCATGAGAATTCAGACATAAAATGGTTAGACTGTTGCTTGGCATGCGCCCGCGGGTATAAAGTTGAGTTCCTCACTCTTGCTTGAGTATTTCGTTAAGGAAGGACAAAAGTAAAGAACTAATTCCAAACGTTTGTGGATACGTAATACGTAATAAGTAATGGAAAATTCGTCTAACTAAACTAAACTTAAGGTAACGGGCTAGAATAGTAACTGAAAAATGACTGCCTATGTGTAGTGGGAGTCCGTTAGCTGAACTCTCCAGTCTCGGATTACCAGAGAGCAGGGGGTGTCCACCGTGCGATTCGATTCGCGTTAATATTTACAGGAAGTCTATGGAATAAGTCCAGGTGTGGCTCCTTCACAATCATCCATCAGATATTTGGCCATCAGAAATCTTCCTTGCTTAACTCCCTACTCCGCATCATACCTAATTACGTTAAACGTACGTAAGCTTCGCTACCAAGGCTCTACAGGCTCTAGAGACCAAGAACCCCGATCGCAGAATAAGCCAACAGGTGACAAGACACGACACGACCTACAGCTATGGCTTACTACGTAATACTCTAATAGTCCTAACGCTAAGTCTCTAGCTAATTGAAAGATACACACTTGCAGTGCGCCTCCTATGCCTATGCCATAGGCTGAATTGAAATCTATCGAGCCGTTGCCGCCTATCTATCTATAGCATTGCAAATAGTAATAGTGTAGTTGGTTGAAGTCTTTTCGCCTTCTTCTTCATCTTGCTCAAGTCTGGGTGAGCTCAGCTCAGTTTCATGATTAGTTACTATATCGCACATCCCTTGCGCATGCCGTACATTATTTTCAGTTCTGGGTAGATGATCTTTCTGATCAGTTGGTTCGTCTTGCCCGACAGCATGGCCCGTCGGTTGTCCTTCTTCAGTACCTTGATGCCCGGCTTGTGCACCAGGAATGCGTTGTCCAGTATGTGGAACTCGTAGTCTAGAACGCACAGCGCATACCCCTGAATGGAACGAACACATGAATCAAGTCCATTGATAAATATTTATCATGACTCACCTGGGGCATCTTGTCGCTCTTTCCCTCCCAGCTGAGCCGTTCGTCATAGTGCGGATCAGCGTGCGTGCCAATGTAGATCGGCTCCCAGTGCACGTAGTAACCAGTGCGTTTTCCTGCGAAAGAGTTATCAGTTAAGTGTTATATTGCCATTTCTATTAATAGACATAATTACCTATGTGGAACACACTGAGATCGTCTGTCTCGTTGGCCGACATCCACTCCTTAGACTTTGGCACGCCATGGCAGCTGGCACAGACGCGTTTGTGGAAGGGTATGGCCTTGCCGGTGCGAAGGAACTCCTGCAGTTCAGTCTTGTCATGCGGAACTGGGGAGTTCTCTTCCACCTCAAAAATGGCCAGAGGAAACACTCTACAAGAAAAACCAAGTAGTTAGCAGAGTTCTCTTTTCTGTATCCAACAACAGACTTACCTAGGAGCCTTGCGCCTCAAGTACTGCTCATTGCGGGCAATCATCTCAAGAAACTTTTTCACAAGACCCGGATTCGGGTACAGCTCAATGTCCGAGGCCAGGATGAAGTGGGTGAGAGCCGAATCGCGAGCAATATTGCGACCTACGTTCACCGGATAGAGGAGCTTCTTCTGAGCCTTGTACAGGTGGCCGGAGCTGACGTTGAAGTAGGGAGGAGGAAGCGTGCAGTTGTAGCCCGTCTTCAGGACGTCATGAGGCTTGGGCACCGACTTGGGGATGTGCTTGGTGCCGAAGTAGATGTGGAAGGTGGTGTAGGCGCGCACCAGGTGGCTACCGGGAAGGCAGTCCCGCAGGTACCGGATCGAGTCCAGAGTGGGCTGGAAGTCGGTGCCGGGCGCGTGCATGGCGATGCTCACCGGGGCGTTCCAGCGCTCCAGCAGCGGGACAAGGTTGTCCAGGAAGGTGTAGTCTGCGTGCGTCGTGTAGGTGATCGACTCATGGCACTTGATCTCGCCGTGCTCCGCCTGGACGTAGTTCTGCAGCACCCAGAAGTCGCCGCGCTGCAGGGTCTGCTGGTGGTAGTCGTGGTCATAGCAGTTGATCAAGGAGCGCACCCGCTCTTCCAGCTCCTTCTCGTCGCCAGTGACTATATAGCCGTCAGACTGTGTGTTGTTCACCTCCGGGTTGCCCCCCAGAGGCGCTGCCGCTCCTCCACCAGCAATATTGTCGATCACCAGAGCGGCATCCGCCTGGGCAGCAGCTGCACCGCCACTGTCGTTGGTCGAAAGCGGAGCAGCTGCACCATCAGACGCCGGGGCAACTGGTCCTGCCACCGCAGCTTGGGCATTGGCATTGGCTAGCAACTTCTCCTCAGACTCAAAGATGTCAATCTGCTGTAAATAATATTAATTTTTTAGTCAATTTTTAGAGTATTTTAAAATTAATACTTACATTTTGGTTTTTTGGGGTGGCTTGTGGCTGTTGGACTTGTGCCGCTGAAGATCCTGGTGCTACTTGGACGATGGAAGCCGGCTGCTGATCCTGCAGCAGGAAGCTCCCTCCGTTCGTAAAGTTGTTGCCGCCACCAATCATCAACTGGCTGCCAATGTACAGGATCACTGCCACATTGATCAGGATGCTGCAGCGGAGCAGCCAGTTGCGGCGAGTGAACATTTTCTGGCCCAAAGGTTCGAAACGCATGTTGCAGCTGAAAGGAGAGCAAAAATGGGTAAATATTCAAAGCAATCAAAGGATATAGTCAATATAGGAGGTTCCCTATCGATCAAATCTTGAACTATAAAGCTTGCCTTTTAGGGGAATCCATTTTCAAAAGTGAATGTGCAGTCATGGACTTTTGCAATAGAACTGTTCTACTTTCAGGCTAGCCAGTGGGTTCGAACGTAATGCTTTTGTTTTCTACTTACGTAGATTGTTTGTCTTTGCTATCTAACACCCACAAGTAGTTATCATTCAGAGCATTTAACCCAACAAAATGTCGCACAGGAAGCTATTTGACAAGCAAGCAGGCTCTCAGCGAATGGAAATTAGTTTGTTTTTCTATTGCGCATTTCCCTTGTGATATTTTTGCATTCCATTTTTAATGAAAAATATTTTCAAACAGAAACTGTTCAATATTTAATTGTGTTTTTTAAACATTGACATAACCTATAACATTATTTATCCACCGATAGCCTAATAAATTATTATACGCTTGTTAACTTTCAGATAAAAAACAAAATTTACAATAAACCATTAATATTTCACACAGCCCCTGGAGTTTTTTCGGTTGACTGTACCACAACCACAGTATATTTGGGAGGCTGAGAGTTAAAACCATATATATTTTTGAGTGATGCTCGGAGTTCATTGCTCCAGCTACAATGGGGCCAAGACTCTAGGCCTTCTGAAGTGCCACCAGTTTTGTTTGTTCCGTGGGCATTAACATGTGATGAATTTGCATGACCAACACGGTCCATGCCCATTCCAGTCCCCAAAATAATCCGCACATTGCGAACACAGGAAACCGATCCGGCCGCTCCACAGCCCGACACTCGACCCCCGTCAGCGAGCAGCAGCATCATAATCTTCAGGGTAGCCGGCGGCTAATTTGATAAAATCTACTCAAGAAACAACTCAAGTTTTTGGAGAGAAGTCTATGCTGCCTGGCAACAGTTCTAGCCTAGCGTTAGGGGGTTTTGCTTTCACGATCAGCATTGGAATCAAATAAGTGTGTATGATACTCTTCCATGGAGAGGTTATACTGCCTTACTTATTATATATTCTATTAAAAGGTATTAAAAGTTCTATCACACTTTTGGGTTGCCTTTCTTAGGAAGACGTGTGTTCAGTATATGGCTTGAGGCCTTCACCAATTATGCAAAATATTTGGACAATTGATTTTTGGAAATTTGGAGCAAAACGTGAGGATTTTTACGAGTGTGCGCTATGCTGAATAGAGAAGTGACCCAAATTTGAAGTCTTTTAGGCTCATAAGGCGATCCATTATTTCTCTACTTGTTTGAAAAGTCTTCTAGCCAGAGATGAGATCTTTGAGCGATCAGTCTCATTATAGTTGTGTTGTGGTGGGCAATTTCTGGCTGTTGCCAACCAGGTATAGTAAACTTTGACTGGCAACAGAGAAACTGAATTCGTTGGCCTCAAGTGAACCTCAACTACCCTTTTTCTCCACCGGCTCGTTGGCCCATTATGCTTAAACAAAAAAAGAGCTGGCCCTGGAGCCCCGTGGAATGCCTTATTATTTCTTCTCTTCCTGTGTTGCCTTTTTCTGAAGCTATTTTCGCGGAGGAAGTTAAGTGGTCAAGATATACTGTTCATCTATGTTGGGAATTCGGAACGCAAGATAACTCAATCACTAAAATAAATATTAAGAAAACTTTAAAGACTTTTAATAGCATTCTAAAACACAGTTTAGTACCAGAAACATGGTATGGAAGATGGGATAAGATTAGAGTAGAATCTCATTAATGATATATGATGACTATTAAAAGCCGTAGCATTAAAATTCGACAAGACCAACATTTCTTAGGAAAATATTCAGGTAATTTATTGGCATTGTCAGTAAATTTGCTTAAATTATGAGATTTTAATGAGCCTCATCAATCTTTAGGTATTATGGCAGTAAAGTATGACGGTGGTATTGTATTTCCTATGGCTTTCTTTTAATAGAGACTGTCGTAAAGAGCTTCGACTTCAGGATTACAAGCCCCAGAACTGAATAACTGAACCGATATTGATTTTCATTCCGTCATTTAGCTTGATTATTTCACGTGACTCTTTAAAGCCAGCCATCTCATGTGGCGATTTAAATAAAATACAATAGTTGTTCATGGCTGTGCTGTAATTTAAGAGCTCTACACGAGCGGATGGATACTTATTGTGGTCACAAGCAAATATAATGACGATGGTCACGGAAATATCAAATCAAGTTTATTTTTTCGCTGTAAGGCAAAATAGCAACGATGTCCCATGACATAACATTTTATATATAAGATATCGAGGTTGGCTTAAAAATAATATTTACAAGATACATTTGTCTCGATTCTGCAGTTGTTGAAACATTTGCTCCTTGTATTAAATGATAAGTACACAAGAGGCATTCCCTGAACTCATTATGGTCAAGCAAAAGCCAACATATACATCAGTTTATGTACATACATACATACGAGTATAAGCCCTAATGGCAGCACGTGAGCTGGCCGTAAGAGAAGTAGGCAAGTAGAATGGAAAGGCAAAAAAAATCGATTGGTTTTGACCTCTTAGACGCGTAACACAATTCGAAGCTCTTAGCCTGCCAACTGCTGGCGACAAAGATGGGAAGTGCATTGGCACTAATGAAGCGACCCAATCCCAATCCCAAGCCCAGGCCCGAACCCAAACCCAAACCCAAATAGCTGGATGATGGAAAGGCGCTTCGAAAGCGAAACGTAAACAAACACGCCACTCCTCTTGGCTTCGATGTATACTCTTATTATATATACATTCCTGCAGATACATATTTCTGGCTGGATACCAGCCACTTTTTTTTGCCTGTTTAGAGGCGCTTGGTATCACGCGACCATAATGTCACTATGTACCAGCGACCACGAAAGTGTCGAATCGCCATCGTATTGATAGCCAGAGCCGTCAAGGAATGGAGGTTGTGCCAAATGGGATGTATAGCAGAATATTGGATATCAATAACGGACTACACTTTAAGAATTCTTTGAAAGAAAAAAAGCTATGAGCTATCTACTAATTAAGATCCTCAACCCAGCCGACCTTGCGCTTTCTATAATTATTCTAATTGCAACAGACTATCAGTCTGCTATTGTTGGAAGGTGGCTGGGGTCTTTTGGGGGCAGTCTAGGGTAAATCAAACACAGGGCCGAATGTAAATGCGTGACATTAATGCGCACAACTGACAAAAGCGTAGCACTCTCAATTACTGGACAGGTGCCATTGGAATCGATTATTATTTCCAGTGGATGGCAGGAAACAGGGAATTATGACTGTCATAGAATGTACATATGGGCTGGGTGCTCTACTTGATGAGGCATTAGCATAGAACTGAAAAACAGACGCGTTTTTTCATTAATGGCACTTTGGGATGCAAATGTATCTGCATCTGAGGCTCCTCTTCTTTTGATGTTCAGAATAATTATGTGACTTATCGCGTTATTACTAATTGAAAAATATTTTCAGGGCAGCCACTTATAGCACTTTCCTTTTTAAATTTTAAACGAAAATAGACTTTCCGACTTTAAGTAGAACTCACGCACCGAGTTAATGCACTTGCTGAGGTCCCTCCTTAAGTAAAATTAAGGGAAATGTCGTTTTATCCTCAACACGCAGCTTGAATTATATATGAAGACTAAGAAGCAAGTGTGCTTCCACAACAATGTCACAATGACATGGCAGGTTGGAACAACATAATAAAAAAGGACATATCCACTTTGGGCAAGGACACAGACTTGCAATTACCTGTTTCTCTTTATTTATTTATTTGTGGTTGATTATACAAAAATATTATTGCATCATACCCAAAGAAAGTGTGTGAATATGTCGGCACATCCTGACATCTCAAAGAGACCTCCGCAGTGAAACTGCAACATAAACGAGAAAAGCCACTCTAAAAATTCGCAGGGAACACGGACGCTTTCTTTCGTTTAATTATTTATGAAAAAAAAAGCAAATGGTAGTGGGACGCGTAAATAAGAATTGTGTATTTTTCCGGAAAGGTGCTTTCCGCTTTCCTCACTGAACTGCATTTGTGTTACATTTTCCCAGCTTTTCGCAAGTTTCAGACTTGTGAGTTTGTTGAACTTTAGCAGGTAGGGTTCTAAAATTCATCCGTTTCTTTAATATGTATAGTATTTTCAAACAAGTGACCCCTTAGGTAAATCATTCTAGTATTTCTTTGCTGAGAACAGTTGGGTTTTAACAAGAACCCCTTCCAAAAATTAATGGCGGACTGATTATCTTAAAATTCCACCTTTAAACATAAAACGGATTAGTAGAAACCGCCATGGTACCTCTGATTTTTGGGAAGCTATTTTCTAAGAATTTATCTATCTACTAACCTCTTTTGTGTTTCTAATCTTAAATCTTTAAGTTTATTATAAGAAATACGATTTATCTTTTTAGTAGCAGAACAGTTTCCTGTATGTTTTTGAAGTATTAACTCTTGAAGGTTTATGTGGAAAAGCAACTTCAAGGAAGTGATGTCTTAAAAGATGTGTTTTAACTAATCTAAGTGTGACTAAAAGCTGTGCATCACCTAACAATTAGTAGCGGCTTCTTTAGAGTTGAGAGCTAGCCTTGTTTGGTGTTTTCTATTTCAAAATGAATACTATCTTGAAGCTGTAACATAATCCAGCAGGAAAAGTACTACAATAGAAGAATCTTGCAAAAAGAAATTCTTGAAAGTGCTTTCGACTCGACTAAGATGTTTTGTCTGGACTCCAGGCCCTCTTATTGCCACGATCAGGTGTCTGGCTCTTTATTTTTAGCATCTTTTAAGTTAGTTAGATCGCATTATTTCCGCAGATTATTTCCGAGAATAACAAAACAAAAGCCGCAGCGCAGACGCATGAGATAAGGTTCCATAAAAATAGAACATGCCTTTCCTGTTCCTTGTTTATTTGCGTTGCTTGGCTGTAAGCTCCACCCTTAAAGATTTTACAACTTGCAATTAAAACAGAGTTCGTACCACGCTGGTCCTCCGGCTCCGCCCTCCTGACTCTGGGCCGGTCCCTGGTCCCTGTACGATCAGCCTCTCGGTGTATATTTTATTTATGGCGCTAACATTATTCAGCTTGTTGTTTTTGTTAACGTGGCTGAGGCTGGTGTCGGCCGTACTTGAAGACAACCGGAGACAAGCAATTAAAAACAACAACCTTGAAGTTGGCTTTAAATTCAACCTGGCACCGCCGGGTTGTGTCTCTCCGGCCATGTTTACCACCAAAGTCTGCGTCATTCATCATATATTTCAGTCATGTTTTACAGTTTAATTTATTTGCAACTCCATTAAACTATAAATACCCAGTACCCGTGGAACTAATAGGCTGGCCGAATAAAATGGCTGGAAGCGTAGTCCTCGGAAGATGGATCATCAATGAACTTTATGGCAAATGGAATGAATTTTCCGAAAGACAAAAATGCTAATAGATTGGCATCTTGAGCTTCACAGCCCTAGTGGATGGGTGCTTCTATAATTGATGGTCTTTAAGTTGTTTAAGGCTAATGGGCAATTTGCCTCGAAGCCCTCTTCGGTTGATGAAGGCCGAAATCGCCGCAAGCCACAAACTTTTGATCGAATCTTTTGAGAATTTTGTGAAAATCGCCATCAAGGGGTAGTCTTATTTCGGTCTTATCGCATGACGCAATCAGAGACTTTACAATAGCTCAGCACCATTGGTGTGCTCAATTGCATTTCTCATCTTGGGTAGGTAGCTGGGGATAGGTAGCAACCAGTTTTATGACTTAACCAAGGTCCGACCCTGGCCCAAGAGCTTGGCCATCGCCATCGTGCTGCTTAATGAACGATGCGCTTCATTTGCGCGCCTTAACATAAAACTATTAAAGAGCCGGCCTCAGCCAGCGCGGCTTATTATTAAAATAAAATCAATGAGTAATTTGCTCAGGCTTTAAAATAATCAATAGCTGCCCATAAAAAAAATCTGCCATATAAGCCAATAATGGCTGAGCTTCCAACAGCCATTGGAGTCTGGCAGGCAAGGACGTGGCTATATTAAGCGGCTGATGGTTTAAATAATCTCCATACGAACCAAAGAGCCTTTTCAGGCTGTGCTAGTGTTCCATATAATTTTATCTACTGGCATTTCGAGTGGAAAAGGCTTTTCCCTGAAAATTTGCATAAACTCATTCTGAAAGCCGGCTTTAATCATCCTAGATAACTTCCATTAAAGCAGCCGCTTTTTAAGTACACCAGAGCACTTCCAGAAAATACATTTTTTGGATTTTCAACAACAACTCCACATGGAATGTATGGTGGGGCTTGAAGCGTAACTCTAAGAACCGCCGCGGGTAACTGAGTTATGATTTTTGCGTCCCACTGTGCAGCCCATAAATAAAACTAGTTTTCTGTGATTTTCTCCAGACTTTTCCGCGGTAATCGTTCCGTCCACGCCTGTTGCCAGCCGACTGCAAAATTGACCAAAGCCGCTGGAATATGGTTAGCAGCTTTATGGCTGACCACGCGGAGAAGGAAGCTCCCCTACAATTATCCAAAGGCCAGGCCAGCAGATGCCAGTATTGGAGATCGATTGAAAGTCTCCTCTTTGGAAGCTGAGTGGGAGAATGATGTCAGTTTTGAGTTTTGAAGTTTCAATCAGAGTATTTCAAAGCCTCTAGAACAAAATTCAAAATATTAAAACATTTTTAGCGACGTAATGCCCACCCTGAAGCTGCGTATTGGGCTGCCGTCGAAGCGAACGCTAGGTAGCCTCTGTATTTGCGGGGCACTGGCTTCTATATCGGGCCTGGCCTACATGCGCTGGCGCCTGGAAGACCAGGTCCGCCAGACGGACTACTACCAGATGGCCATTCAGCAACTGCGCCAGCATAGCGGGGCAGTGGGTCTTTTGGGGGAGCCCATCAAGGAGTCGGGATTCAGTGTGTCCAACGAGAAGAACCGCTGCGACGGGGAGAGGGCCCAGCTGCAGGTGTCGGTGCAGGGGTCCAAGGACAAGGGCACCGTCTACTTTTGGGCCACCAATTCCCCCAAAAAGGGTTGGTTAATCGAGCGCCTGGAACTCGAGACCCAGCAGCATCCCAACACCCGATTCCTCCTCAAGAAACCCAAAACCTATTCCCTGCTTAGCAGTGAGGGCGACCCAGAAGAGGCAGCGGGACAGGCATCGGAAGAGCCTGTCGAGGACGAGCCCAACGAAGTGGATGCGGAACGCCCGCCGCCCAGCATCCAGAGCAATCCTCCCCAGCCGCTGCACCAGCATCAGGGTCAGGAGCCTGCCCCCTACATCCAGACAGCTGAGGGCGGGAGCATGCAGTAGTTACCCTGGATCCCTGGCAGTCAAGGATACCAAAAAAAAGTTCGACTCTTAATTGTGATAAGTTCGACTCTTAATGGCGAAATCATAAACTAAATCACATGTTGTTTATTAAAAGACTCGTCTAACAAGGTAGATTCCATTAATATTTGTGTTTAGGGAAACTCAGTGTCCGTTAAATCTGTTTGTATTTCTTGTTAATTAAAAGGCCACTCAACAGAGGCGCTCGTGGCTACCTCTGGTAACCTTGAAAGTTCAACAAGTCAAGGGAAGCACACACACCGGAGCTTCAAATTCAGAAGCAATTAGGCGTGCGCTGAACAAAGCTACTGGCGACTACCTGAAGACCACCACCTGCCCTATTGTTTAAATAAATTACTTTACAAATTAAATTGTCCAGCGACTAATGCGGAGCCTGGCCATAAAGTCGTAGTGATTCGAGTCCGGTTTGGCTCGGCGTCTCGTTCTAAAAATATAATGAAGCAATTGCTGCGTATTGAGTCCAAAGTCAGGTGGGGCCCGCGTGCTAAGAAATGAGTGCCATTTTTATGGGAAAACTAGTTTTTCGCATGTGGGCAGTAAAGTGAGCTCTGGGTCGACGTACTTGCCAAAGGAAAACCCACATTTGCGTATTTGAAGTAAATACACGATACTTGATCTAAATAGAGTACTTATCAATGTTTATGTTACTTTCAAATGGGGAAAACAGAGCCCCTAGAACAGGGTTACGAATGGCATGTTAGTTGAAAGAGTGCCAGAAGAGAATCAAGACGGTGACTGGCAACAACTGGAGGTCATGGTCAGTAAGCTGGTGCTGCAGTGCCAGTGCCCACCCAGGCCAGGCCACCAGGCAGGAGAGTTTAAAACAGAAAACGATTGAAGAAAAACGTGTGCCACATAATGTCGCACTCATCCACTCATAATGACTTCACTGAACGGGGCATGCCGGCACAAAGAAAGTCACCATATGCTGCCCGATAGCACTTACACGGTTAGTCACTAATGTCAACGTCACTGGCTAATTAAGGTTAATGAAAACGACAAGCCAGCTCAAAGCAAACAAAAGTGAAGTAAACTAAACCGGCTCGATGATTAGCCAGGACAGCTGGTCGCCAGAAGGAATGCACTGTTCCAGGGGCACTGAAACCACGTAATTTGCATGGAAAAGTAATCAAGACTTTGTGTTTCGAAATACCCAATCCATTTTCGTTATATTTGGTCACGTATCGGGGCATTCCCAAGCTATATCAGTATGCCAAGCCATAAATGAGTAAGTTTTATTTATTGCGAAAAAAAACAATCACAAAAGTTAGTAATCAGGTATTTAGACCTCAGATCTAGGAGTATTTTAGACTCTCATGAACCTGCAATTACTTGAAGATAAGTACATGACTTTGGATTTATTTCTTACCTGTTTTTGGTGCTGATAGCTGAAAGAGAAAGAAACAAACTTTAATTAATTTAAAGATTTAGTAATTCTATTAGCCAAAAGTAGCATAAATAATAGCCCTGTCTGATGAGCAAATAAATAAAATACCAGGCTAATTGACCCCTTGTGGTATCCGTGGTGCAAATAGGGTTATTTTAATGAAGTTTACATAAATCATGACTTCTCCTGGGAACGCCTTTGCATGTCTAATTAAATAAAGGCGAACAGCGCCATATCTGGGGAGTCGTAGATAATGTCAACAAGGCCAAATTTCAATATGTACCGACGAGGCCAAAACACACTTGTTTGCGCAGACAGAAGCGTAGTATAGTCTTTAAAACAGTGCATATATTTGCATAATAAATAGCCTTTTTTTATTGAAAAGTAAATAGAGAACAAAAGAGTCTTTAAACAAGTATTATAATTGTTTTAATAAAACTATAAATACATTAGAAGTAATCTTCAAACCTCTTTAGTTAAAACCACCAATCTTAACTTACAATGTGTCATACTGGTTGTCAGAAAAATCTAATCAAGTAACTACTACAATCTTGTACAAGATAACTTATCTTGGATGTTGAACATTCTTGAAAGTACTCTCGAGGTTTCTGCAGAAGTTTCAGCACTTGTTGGCTTGTTCTACTTGATAAGAAGCTAATTAGGTTTCAAATTGCTGTTTTTTTTAATACGATTTAAACAGAACCATTAGTGTTAAACTACTCATACAATTAGAAAGCCTATCTATTCTAGTTGAGTCTGGTTTTCAATGAATGCTTGGAATACTTTCATTGCTAAAATACCAAAATCATCTCTAAGATAAGAAGCAATTCCGTGGAATTATAAAAATCAGGAGTTACCTCTTCAAGTTTTTTCAGAAGTGGGGAAAAACGTAACTGCGTCTGACTGAGGCAGCGATAAGCTTTGTTTATCAAACCATTCAACGCCAGCCGTACAAATACGAATGCTTTTAAAACGCACTTGTCGTACAAATATTATATTGAATATTTTTGGGAAGTAATTGCACCCCAGTCACGAAAAATCACACACAAACAAATCACACTGAAACCTTGTCCCAGGCAACATCTAAAAATATCTAAAGGCATCGAAATATTTTCATCAAAGAATCTCAATGCCATACCTTTGGTCAGCCGAAAAGTAATTCAAGAGAAATAAAATTCAATTATACTATAAAATGGAACTAAGATATGTGTTGATAAAAAGCTATACAATTTTTGATAAAAACCAACCTTCAAAAGTAAAAGTGTTTCTCAACCCTAATCAAGGCTGTCAGAAACCTGATAAGCTTGGGTTATCAAGGCCAATTGAACGTCAGATTGCTTGAATAGTAAACCATATCGTAAGTAGACTTGCCAGTAAACTGTTGGTAAGCAAATTTTAAAGATTCTAGGCTACTCTTGGCCCTTGATCCTCCTCATAAATCACTCAGAAATGGATACACTGGCACTCTTACACGAACAAAGGCTCAGGAGGTCTAGTTCCACCCACCATTACCTCTTCTAGTCTAGTAATCTCATCTCTTCTCAGAATAGCCCAGCTTGGTGGTTCATCGATATTATTTGACACTTGGCAGGCTTCCAGGGACTTCCTCCAAGGTTGCAGTCTTGATCGGGAGGACACACTTAAAGGGCTTATAACTGATAAGTGGATATCCATTTCATTTCTATATATCTTTTAGGATAAAGATTTTTCAACCCAATAATGTACTCAGCTATTGTGGAGTACAATGGCTTGTGGCTCGATTTCCGTATTTGATAAACAACTGAAATTATGAGAAAATAAACAAAGCCAAGCCAAACGTGCTCCAGAGACCCAACTTTAATAAAATTTATCAAACTTGGATATGCAAAACGTGTAAAAACTAAAAGCTTTTTACTTTTCTTTGTAATTTAAAATTCGAAGTTTAGATTTTCCATTTCTATGATTTCCAAGTGTCTTTGTGGGTCACGAAATTGTTATCAGGAGTTTCTAATTACTAATTAAACTTAAACTAAATAATTACAATTTAATTTTGTTTTAAGAATTTGTATTCACCTTTAAACAGTATTTTATTTAAAGTAAATAGTAATAAAAACATTAGAATTTATCTTATACTTTCTTTAAACAAAGCCTATTGTACCTTTTAACTTTTAACTTAAACTATGAATATTTTTCAATATCACCTCATATTCTCATCTCTCTTTGGAAAGCAAAATCCCTATTGAACTCTAAATGGAACTCTAAAATACCTCGAAGGGGAGTCTAGAATGTACATAGATACTTCAGCCAAAAGCGAGGGTTGTCAGGCATGCACACACTTCTTGAGTTACGATGACATTGCTGTTTGGCTACGGCCCCTAACTGGGTCGCCTGTGTCACCTGGGAAAGTGTCAGCGGCGTCGCATAAAACGTACACCTGTCCACCCAACAGCCGCCTCCCAACCCGACCCGACCCGGCCGGGTTATGTTGCCCTGGCCGTGCCCCTGAAGTACAAACTGACAGTTATGCGTGACTAATTTCCAGAGGAAAATGGGATAACATTTCGTTGCCCCCGAATCGAGAAACAAAACCAATGGTAACCCCCTAGAGAGGGCTTGTTTGAATGCACTAAATAAATTAATCAAATTACAATGATAAGCACAAAAAAAAATAACAAAAAAAGGCAGTGGAAAATAAAGTTTAATTAACAAAAGTGTAGAGTTTCAATGCAATTGTAGAAAGCTCGAAAAAATAATACAATTACCAAACATTTACTAGAAACCACAGAACGTGACACCATTTCCAGGGGAATGAGGCAACTTTTATTGCAACTTGATAAGTAGTCCTTGCAGGACTTTCCCCTCTCAGCTCTATGCATCTACGTTTGTAGTAAAATTTTATTTTTAATTGAATTAGGCTCTGAAGTCTCGGTCTGGGTCTGGGAAAGTGTTCAAATGGCAAACGACACGAAAAACAAAACGCATAAAAATGTTATGTGCGGTTAACCACAGAATGGTAAATCAATACCCCTAGGGAGGTGGAAAGGTGGGGGTATATGTTCTCTACTAGAACTACTACAACTACTAATACTTCTCTAATGGTCGCAAGTAAAGGAATTTCTACAATAATTCTTTTTTTAATTTCTAATACATTTTTATAAAATATTTCCCTCAAGGGGACTTCAACTTGCAAGTCTTGTGGGACTTTAAGACTTTGGTAAGCTGGGTATTTCTATTTTGGATCAATTTCTTTCCTTAATTGACATTTAATTGACATCATATATCAAGAAAATGACCAATAAAGTTGACAATTAGTGATAAGGGCACGCCCAGAGTCCATCTTGGAACTACATAGTAGTAGCTCCACTACAAACAGCCAGCCGGAAATGGTCGTTTTATCAGCGGGCTTGTTGTTTATCAAGTGGCTAGGGGAATATGTGCCAAGCTTATCGGCATCGACGTAATCCCACCACTGCAATGCGTTGGCCACCCAGTCCCTCCACTTCCATCCACTTTTCTTATCAGCCTGGAAACCTATGCGACAAGGAGTTGTCTTCAGATGGATGGAAACCTCAGGTGTTGGGTAAATATTTAAACTAAATAAAGAAAACTAATTAATATAACCGAACATTAAATATTATTTGAAATATAATTAATCCCATACCATTTAAAAACAAATTAGTTTCTTGTTTGACATTCCAGTAATTAATGTTTCTTGTCATAAAATCGTTTCGGATTTCGATATTTAGTTATTTTTGGAAGCTATGGCTTTTTGGGTCTCCCAGCTAATATTTTTGTTTTTTTTTAATATGCTTAGTTGATGACAATTTTTAGCCACAAACGACGGCGAGATTTATGTGTTTTCCTATGGCTTATAAATGGGGACTTTGGAGACACAAACGTATTTTTAAATGCCTGACAAGGTTGTGTATTTATTAGCAGGCTATTTGTAAAAATAAACGATCTCAGAGCGAGAATAATACTTTCTTGAAAATATATATTAAAAAAAAAAGAAAAAGAGAGATAAGATTAGCCAGGGCTATACGTAAAACTGGCCAGTCAGACCTTATAGACATCTAGGAGACTCGTGGGAACTTTGGATAATTTAATTTAATTTTTTGATTTATTGAATTGGTTATAGACACGCTTGTCGTGTAATTCATACTCTCGTGGGAGTCTCACGATAAGAGATTAATATTAAAAGAGATTATTTTTTATTTTTTACTCGGAAACCAAAAATTTATAATGCGGGTCATGGCAGAGATATGATAAGGGTATTGGCTACCATTTATTTAACTTGAATACATAGTTAGTCACAGTATATAGTACTATATAGTACAAGGGAAACTTTTAACCGATAAAGAGGCGGTTAATATGAATGAAGGAGAAGAAAAAAAAAGCCCCAAATGAGAAAGCAATGATAAACGAGAATAACAATAGCCTTAGTTACGCATCTGGGGGGGGGTGGGGGTAGGGGACCTGGACCTGGTGTGGAAAAACTTACATCACATACACTCCCCACTCGAAAGCGGCCGTAATGATGGCAACAACAACTACTTATAACTACGATTTTTGATTGTGGCAGGCTGCTAATTATTTTATTTATATATGTGGTTGTTGTTGGGGCACAAAGTGTAGCTATTGTGGGGTTGGCTTTTTTTTTATTTTGGGGCGAATAATAAAGAAATCGCGGCAGCGGCACTGCTTTTTTTTTATATTTTTCTGTGGTTTTTGTTGTTGTTTCGTCTGCTGACCGTTTTCTATGAATGAAAGAGACGAGAGCAGGCGATAAAATCAAATACAACTACAACTACAACTACAAACAGAGGCAATAACAACAAAAACAACAACAACAAGACAAACAACAGAAACAAGGCGTGACGCGACAAACAGAGAACGAAGCTAAAGGCAGAGACGCAACACGAAACGGGTTTTTATCGCAGTGACTTGACTTTTCAGAATCGTTTTTCAGAAAACAACAAAAAAACACACAAAAAGAGAAGATTATCCAAGTGGAGAAGGCACGCGAAAATGAAAAAAAAAAAAGGAAAAGCTCCACCTTTGCACTAAACTGCGCAAAACACATGTAAGGTCGGGTCGTCGAGTTCGAGGGATGGGCAGGGCGGACCAGCTGATTTTGGTTATGCCACATGCAGCAGAACAACAACAACAACAACAACAACAACAGCAACAGTGACTCTCTCTCACTTGCCACCATGAGAGCCAAATTCAATTTAGGATAATTTTGTTTTTTTTTTTGTTTGTTTGTTGGGCGATGCTCTCGGCCCCTCACGCACACACACACACACACACACACACAAACACACACACAGCCGAAACAATACAAAAACATGAAAGGCCTCGCGAATTTAAATATTTGTGTTACACTTGTTTTTCATTTTAAGAGATTTCGCCACTGCGGTGGCTTGGATTTTTGGATTTTGGGGTTTGTGGCGGCGATCTGGCTTTCTCCGGCTCATCTACACACCTTCTGCTTCTTCGGCACGCACCAGGCTGCAGCGCTTACGAGAGGCTCAGTTTTCGGCCTTTCGCAAAAAACTCTTTTTTTCCGACACGACTTGCACACGCGGCGCCACTCCTTGGGTGTCCTGTTTTCGCAACTCCTTCGGACAAACGACTGGACAAACAATAAGAAAACTCGCCGCCGTAATTCAGTTTTCGTTCGCGAAAAGCTTTGGCTTTGATTGCAGAAATCACTGTCCACCGAGCGTCGTCAGAGCATCAGCCAATCAGCATTTTGGTTTCTTATTTTTAATTCATTTCATCCATTCAAAAGCTCGGCCAAAACCGTCACTTTAACGTAGCAGCAGAGTCTGTTGTTTCAGCTCAACAAAATCGGTTTGAATCCCCCACTTGGGTTAACTTCTGCTACACACATCCGCTCTATTGACGAGTTTTGACGATTTTGTGGGGTTTTCGGTTTCGAGTTTTGGGCCCACTTTGCAGGGCTGGAGAGACATCGATATGTCGATACTTTGTATATCGATATTCGACTATCGTTGGACTGGAATGTGGAATATCGTCGTGTAGTCGACCTTTCGCTCTTAACCGGTTCATCCTAACCAATATTGTTTGAATTTTCAAATTTAAATTTTGTTTTAATTTATAAAAAGATCTTATAGGTATTTGGAGTTGTTAGATCGTATTAAATATGGAGGCAGCTATGTTGAAAAATAAAACATTATTTAATCACGAAATAAAATATTTTTTTCTTTAACTAAAATTTTTTCAAAATATAAATTATTTCTAAAGTTTAGAATCTAAACAGTTTGCTTCAGTTTTATTCATATAGAAAAGTAAGAACTAAAAATATCTTCGGTTTCCACGTGGTTTCTTAAATCTAACAAATTTGACTTGTGTCGGTAAGGAACAAAAAATGCAGTGGTCCCTGAGATTCACTTCGGGATCTGCTTCTAACTTATATCTATGTATGTAGCAGCTTCTGTTTCATGGCACTCCCAAACTTAAGTATCCCTCATTAAAGCTTTTTCCCTCATTAGCTGTCATCTTTGCGTAATAACTACTTAACTATTCTTAATATTATGCCGCAATAGTTGCGATAACATGGCTTCTTGGTGATCCAGATAGGCCAAGACGCTCTGCTGTATCACCACAAACTGCTTTTCTTTTTGCTCAAGCAGCCGACGGCTAGTATCGATATCCGCCTCGAGCGATTCGTTTTCTTTGCGCAGCCCTTCTATCATGGCCATGGTGATCTGACCAGTTCGCGGCATGATGCTTCGCCGTCCACGTTTTTTTTTGGACGCCTCTCCAAGACCGTTGACAGTGGCCGCCGTTTGGACTTCCACTGCTACTGCTAGTTGATGGTTGGCTGGCGCCAGAGGGGCTCTGCGGTTTGTACTATCGAAGGCTGGGGTCGCATAACCAGCCACCGCAGTGGCTAGTTCCAGCTCTGTGGGTTTCTCCTCAGTCTTGATAAAGTCGCAAGGAACGCTAGGTGGTTCCGTTTTCAGCACAGGTGTAAGCTCCGATGGCTCCAGGAAGGCACATCCGTCGGGATTGCGTTCGAACTTTATCGGAGCTCCCTGTGGGTACTGAATAGGCGGCAAGGCAGGCAAATCAGCTCGGGCCTTGGCGGCGGCGGCCTCTATAACGTTGCGAGGGTTACACTCGATTGTGGTAGGTCGACTGGGGTTTAACAAACTGTCGATTAATGGGTAAAGGCGCCAATCCGATTTGTACTCTGGGTTGCTGTCTAATCGGCTTCGTTCGCTTCTGTGGACGAAAATATTGTGATTAAAGAAACTGGAGACTGTTGGCTGTGATGCTGGTCGTACAAATACTTATTTCGGTAAGAGTTGAGGCGCCGCCGAACCTCCTGCTTGTTCAGCCTTATGCCGACTCGCTGGAGACCAAACGAAATGTCGCGAAAAATTGCCAGGTTCTCCGAGTACGAGGAAATTTCGTGCAGGTGCTCGCGCCACAGTCGCACCAGCACAGCCTCCTCCAAGGAAGTGTAGTAGCGCAACCGGAGGTGTTTGTGCCCGATCATTTTTAAGTTTTCGACAAGTTGTTAAAAAAGCAAAACATTTTGTACGTGACCGACTACCAGATTGAAGAATTCGGAAAATCCTCTGTTGCCATTAGTGTGACCAAAAGGCGTCAGTTTAAAAGGGCATCAGTTTTGCCATTTCAACACATTTTTAAAAATTATCAATGTATCTGTTTATTATATAAAACTTATATTTATTAAATTATTTTTTATTATTTATTATTTATTTTATTTGGGCATCTTTAATTGATAATGCCAAAAGACGTACAATTCATGCATTCCTTAATTTATGAAATCCGGCAACGCTGTTTTGTGTTTAGGATCTAAGCCTCGAACGGTCATATTGTTCTGTGTACAAGAGTTATTGTTGATTTTTTGCGTGAAAATCTGTTGGCTTCCCCTTGAAAACATTTCCTTGGATTGTGTAATTCGAGCACAGCCTTCGACATCCGAGGAGTGGCGACAACCTGTTTTTAGAGAGGAGGGCTTCGTGCATGGAATACGGGAAGCTGGCTCTGAACGTTGCAACTCGAAGCGCAGCCGGCGGCGGAAGGGCTAGTGGTAGCGCCACCGACCAGGATATAGCCATGTGCGGCGGGCAGGAGCTGCTGGAGGGAAGGGCGAAGGAGAAGGCTCGTCGGTACTGGACGCCCGGTGAGGAGGAGCGCCTCTACGAGATTTGGGGACGCGACAACTGGAGACTAACGCGCACAGGGAAGAACACTATCTTCTTTGGCAAGTGGGCTGAGGAACTGCACGAGCGGTATAACGTAGACGTAAAGCCGGAAGAAATTCAAATGAAGGTTAACCAGACCAGGGCCAAATTCAGGTGAGTGTGGAAGGTGCAGCCTCTCTTGACTTCAGATTTAATCGCTCTTTTTTTTCAGGCAAGTAAAGAAGCAGCTTCAGCAGGACCCATCCAGCTACGCCACACGATGGAAGAAATACGATATAATAAACAGAATCCTAAAGAACCTGCATAGGCCTAAGAACGCTGAGCCGCTGCCGCCAGAGGCTCTGCTCAACAATCGGGATATGACTCCACCCCGAGAAGACGCCCCTTCGGAGCAGATCCAACAGCACCAAATGGTCCAACAGACGCAGCAAGGACATGCCCACGCGGAGTCGCCTGGAGTCTCTTGTTACAACAATAACAGCAACAGCAACAATGGCAGTAGCCACAACAACAATAGCAGTGGGATGAACTTTAGCACGGAGCTATTTACGGATCAGTATGATATGGGTGTAAAGAATGAGTATGATGACGACGATTATGTCTCTTTGCCTTTTCAAGAGCAACAGTATTCGCCAGCTGAGCCTGCGCAGCTGCTTGAGCTCCAGACCCCACAACAGCAGCAGCAGCAACAGCAGCATCACCAGCAACAGCAGCATCAGCAACAACAACAGCAGCAGCAGCAACGACAGCAACAGCAGCAGCAACAGCACCAACAACAGCAGCAACAGTTGCAACAACATCAGCAGCAACAGCAACCACAATTTCAACCTGGCTATGAACCGCAGTTCCAGCAACAAGCTACTCACTACGTCAACAATAGCTCTCAAAACGCAGTCACTAGCTCGACCATCACCCCGCAGCCGATCACGGCTGTGGCCTACATCAATAGCAGCAATAATACAATCAGCGTGGCTACTAACGCCAACGGCACTGTGAGCGTGCCACCTGCGACCTCTCCTGCCACAAATGCTAATCCCACGACTGCTGTGGTCGCACCTGTGCCTGTGCCACGAAAACGCGGTCGTCCCTGTGGATCAGTTAATCTGCCGACCGCCGACTCCCTAGAGGTCGTCTACATGGAGGAAGTTCGGAGGAAGAATCAATTGCTCTTGGAGCAGACGAAGATTTCACGTCAACGCCTACAGCTTGAGGAACGAAAGGTCGAACTAATGCAGGCATTCTTTCCCAAGTGTCTCGAGCAGCAGACACAAATCTTAAATAGGATTATGCAGATGAAGCAGCCATAAAAGACCCATCAGACTTGCCCACTGTTTGTCGACAATTGTAAACATTTTTCGGATTTTTTTAAACCTCATTTCTGGACAGAAATGCAAACATTATACTAAATACTGGAACTCAGTAGCACTCTGCATGTCTGTCCCATGTTTTAACCAACCACTTAACAAAGCACATACCACACTGTTTCTTAAATTAAGAATAAACCTAATTCGTAAATAAATATAGGATTTTCTATCGTAAAATTAAATAACCAAAAAGGGGAGTTACAAGGACTAACGTTCCACTCAGCCGTCAGGTACTTTGGGATTAGCACCTATTTTACTTTTCTATTGAAACCCTTGTAATACATTTTTAAGCCTCGGCTACCTGAACATAACTCTTTTAATACTGTTTTAATTGAAAGTATACTTTCTTCTGATAAGCAAAGTAAAAACCCATTTGTTAAGCTTGGGGATGGGTTGATATTTCTTCGGCTCCACCCGAACTCGACTTGGTGCAGTTCGGGTTCTATTTGGAAGGGCCGTCGAGGGCAATATAAACCCAAGTCGGAGGAAAGAAATAGTCATTTGTGCTCCAAATATTTTACAATGCGCGCTGGGCTGTTGAGTTTTTTGCTCTTAATATTCCTGTTACAACTTTTCTGCATTTATCCCATAAATGCAAAGGATAAGAATCGAGTGGCACAACCTTGGAAGTTGAAGGAAGTCATCTATCGGTTGAAATTATTTCGTTTCAATGGAACATGGTTGAGCGGTAAAGTATTAAAAATATTGGAAAATATTTAAGTATTTTAATTAAAGTGCTAGGATTGAATAATACACTTAAAGGAACGACAATAATATTCTTAAATATTAAGGAGCTTATAAAGTCAGATTAGGAGAAATACTGAAAATATCAAACTTTTATGAAGGAAATCTTTCCATGTTATGACTTATATTTGAAGGTGTTTTTTTGAAGGTTTTCATGTTTAATAAGACTCCATATAGCCACTCCTGGGGATCAAGTTCAAGTTTTAAGGATATTTTGAGTAAAAATAATTAACTTTATGATAGTGAATTTAACGGCATTTTTTGTATTAAGCTCGATTAAAAGCAATTAAAAAATCCGACTTATCTGGCAAGTCTGGTGAGCTCCATCAGTGGCTTAGAGCCGTCGAACTCTCCACGGCTCGATGGGGATCCCTCGAGCCCTCGTCGCTCTTTCCGTCGCATCCAGAGCAGCGGTGTCGACGTCGACGGCGGCGTAATCGTAGGCGTCACCGCCGGCGGCGACGTCGTCGTCCCCGCTAATTGCTGTGTGATTGTAATTGATTTCTGATTTCGCGATTCCGAATTCAGTTGCTTTGTGGCGGCAAAGCGGTGAGTGTCGTTTTGCGCGTTCTGTACTTCGCGGTGTGACAAGTGAAAAATTGGTTCTTGCTGTTTCGGACATGCATGACAAATTGCAATCTGTGGTGTGGCTGGTGTTGGCCGTAATACTCGGCTTTGGGCCATCAGCACAAGCGGCGGTTGTGGGTCGGGCGGCCGACGAGGAGGGCAGCTCGAACAAGACGCCGTGGGAACTAACGGAGGCCCTTTACGGAACGTTGGGTCTCCGCAGTTTCAATGGCACCTGGATAACAGGTTGGTGGTGGTTCGATGACCTGCTTACAATTGTTTACTCCCATTCTATCATCCGGACAATCCCGAACTGGGGGAGGTCTCCGCATTATCAGACTGGGAATTCACACCGCGTTCCGTCTTTATCAATTTATTATAATAGGGGCAATGCCATGTCATATATTTCCGTGCCGTAACTTTTCCAGAGCATCAATGAATTTCAAAACATAAACATCTATTCAGAGGGGTCTTTTTAAATTAAAAAAAAAAACCCTGGATTTCATAACCGATTTGATTTGGAACAAAAAATGTTCTTCAAATTTTGTCATATTGAAGCCCGGAGAAATCTAATTCCTCAAATCTAATCTTCAATGAATTACGATCATCAAGTTAGTACCCCGATAGCGTGATTATATGTGGTTTCTTATCATAGACTTGTGGTTTTCTAAAATGGACGTGTCTAGATAGTGGCAATACCCTTTAAAAAGAGTGGCTTTCCCCTTGAACCAGACATGGTTTTTAGTTTTTTTGCTCATTTTGAATCCAAACTACATAAAAGGAAAGTTCAATTTCTCTAAATTTGTGGTCTTTACTGCCAGCTGGATCACTTTGTTGAATACGTATTCAAAATATATAACTATTTAGTGAGTGATGGCTGTCGGAGTTGTCAGGCAAGCTGCCACATTTAGTTAATAATATAAGCTTAATAGGACTAGTTCCTCATATTGTCTTTAAAATACTTGAATTATTATTTTTATTTATAGATGAAGAATTTTATTATACTGCCTCGGATAGATCCATCCATAAATACAACGCGGCCACCAAAACAGACACCATCTTCCAGGCGTCTTCGTTTCTGGTAAGTTTGAGACGGACTCCACGAAGTCCTAACTGATGAAATCTATTCTCCAGAACAACTATGTGGGGGCCACATTCACGCTGTCAGCAGACAACACAAAGATCCTGATCCGTCACAACCTGACGGAGAAGTTCCGGCACTCCTACATCGCCCAGTACGATGTCTACGACATTGAAACGAACACCACGGTCCAGATCCACAAGGGCGAGAAGCTGGCTTACTGCGGATGGTCGCCCCTAAGGGATCGCCTGGCCTATGTCTACCTCAACAACGTGTACATCCATTTCAACGAGAACTTGGAGATCAGTATTACGGATGACGGCGTCGACGGAGTTGTCTACAACGGGGTGCCTGACTGGGTCTACGAAGAGGAGGTTCTCAGCAGTGGAAGCGCTATTTGGTGGTCGGCCGACGGAACCAAACTGGCCGTGGGCTTCTTTGACGACACCGATGTGGAGACTTTCAATTATTTTCTCTACGGTGATGGAATTACAACCTACTACCAATACCCCCACGAGGAGCACCTCAAGTACCCAAAGTCAGGCACCAAGAACCCACTGGTAGCCCTGCGAGTTTACGACTTGGCCAACAATGACCCAACCATGAAGCCCATTGTGGCGCCGGAAATAGTCGGCACCGACCACATCCTGCAGAACGTGGTGTGGTCCAATGAGACCCACTTGCTAGTCACCTGGTTGAATCGGCGCCAGAACCTCTCCTCCATTCAGAGCTGCAGTTACGAGGGACCGTGTGCGGAGGTGAAGCGACTGGAGGAGCCGCAAGGCTGGGTGGACATCAGCACACCCAAGTGCCTTTCCACGGGCAAGAGCTGCATCTTTACCTATTTTATCGACAACTGGCAACAGGTGTGGAACCTCGACCTGGCAACAGGAGTCAACAGTTGGCAATCACGTGGAAACTTCACCGTCTTGTCGGTCTATGGATACGACGAAGTGAGGGACAAGCTGTAAGTATAATCAACCATGAAATGGTATAATTCTAAATAAATTGTTTCTTTACAGATATTATCAGGCCACACAGCCCCATGACCCATCAGTTTACCATGTGTTCAGCAACGACGAGTGCCTCAGCTGCAACCAGATCGATGTGGATGGGCAGAAGTGCCTGTCGGCTAGCGCCACCTTCAGCAAGTCCTTCTCCTACTACACCTTGACCTGCAATGGGCCCAATCCCTCGTACACCCGCATCTTTGAGGCCACCTCGAATACGCTCCTGGTAGATTGGGAGCCAAACACCGCATACAGAGCCACTCTGGAGGCAAAGCAACGTCCCAGCTACCGCTTTCTCAATGTTACCTTGGCGGACGGAAGCATTGGATACGCTAAGCTAGCCCTTCCGCCAACTTTCGACGAGGCCAAGAAGTATCCCCTGATTGTGGTGGTCTACCAGGGGCCGAACTCTGTGCGGGTTACAAACTCGTTTGTGCTGGGCTATGAGGCGTTTGTTACCACCTCTCGGGAAACCATCTACGCATACATCGATGGCCGTGGCACGGGAAACAAGGGAAAGGACCTGCTGTTCTCTGTTAACAACAATCTGGGAAAGCACGAAGTGGAGGACCAACTGTTTGTGACTCAATGGTTGCAAAATCTGACCTATGTGGATGCGGATCGTTGCGGCATCTGGGGATGGAGCTACGGAGGCTATATGACAGCTAAGACCATCGAAAATGATAAGGACCATGTCTTCCAGTGCGGAGTATCAGTAGCTCCCGTCACTTCGTGGTTGTATTATGGTGAGTAACTGCGACTTAGTAACTTGGATAAATCTTAAAAAATATATTTTTCCCAGATACCATTTATACTGAGCGGTATATGGGTCTGCCGACTCAAGAAGACAATGCCCAAAAGTATAACGAAAGCAGTGTCTTTGGAAATCTGGATAACTTTAAGACTCATGATTTCCTCTTGATTCACGGATCCGGAGACGACAATGTCCACTATCAGCACTCGTTGCTGCTGGCCAAGTTACTCCAGAGGGCAGATATTCCATTCGAGGAACAGGTAAGCGATTAAAATCGTTTTTTATTTCGTCCCACAAGGGCTTATATTTCTTCGTAAAACCCCAGACGTACACGGATGAGAACCATGGTATTGGCAATGCGATACCGCACTTGTACCACACCATCGACAACTTCTGGATCAACTGCCTTAACCTGGAGGTCCCTTAGGCCCAGTTTTAGCCTAGTTTATTACGAGTATTTGTAAATACTGTTTGTACATTCTACGCTTAAATCCTTTTATAAAAAAGTCGTGCTTGTTACATCATTTATATGTAAACGAGATAATTTAAAAAAAAAAATTGTGTTTTTTATTTTTGTGAGAATTGGGCAGGTGCCGACTGGCGTGTGCATGTGGGTTAACATGTTAATTCAAGGATTCTGAGTAACCTCGACCAGCGGGGTCAGGAGGTTCGCATTCATTAGCAGACTACCCCACAAAACAATCACCTTTGCGTGCACGAACGTATGTTAGTCCTGCGCCTGACATGTCGCTATCAAAGTCAAAAATTACTTTATGAAAAGGCGGGAAGGCCTCAACAAATAAACTCTGATGACCCGGGACCAACATTTTGAACTTTTATGCATGTTGTGTCTGTTTTGTATCGAACCAACCTCTTCATGTGGTCTTCCAAAGCCCTTTATTGTCGACCCATCCATGCTCTAGGCTACCTGGCAGTTGTGGTTGCTTGTGACCACCGATTAATTTATTTAAATTTGTCGCACATTTAATAGGCTTTAAGCATTCAAAATAAAGTTTACAAATCGGTCTCGCTTTTGGGGTAAACAAGAACGCCAACTAATGGCAAGACATTAAAGCCAGCGCCAATGTTTGGGACAAATTGGTAGCAAATTTTGCAGCTCCGGAAACTGGATGGGATAAGCTCCATCATGGCTGTTAGCTGTTGGCTGTTGGCTGCTGGATGCTGGCTCTTGGCTGCTGTTGGGTGTGGGGGGTTTGACTCTCGGATTAAGAGCGCAACTAATTGCGGATTGCGGCGGTTGTATAATGCCACGAGCAGCACACACACGTTTAGTGTGAATGTCACCGGAAAGTTGAAAATTTTAAAGCCGTTTCAATTGGCCAGGCAGGAAGTTTAATTGGTTGGAGGACTTGGTTCTTGTATAATATATTAATTTGTTACTTTCCGGTAGACTTAAACAAATGCTATAAGTAGCATTAATATGTAATTAATATGTATTAAAAGAAAACTCTATGAACCCCTAAAGTTGGTTTTTGTTCGTTTAGTCTTTAATCTCATGTGTCATATTGTAATTTTAATAATTTTTTAAATGACTATTAAATTTGCCACTCAATTGCCTTGCTTTTAACCCAAGGCTAACCATTAATTTTCATTATTAAAACATAATTTCCTTCCCCACTTATCTATTTGTTCCATTACAATTAGGTTTCAATGAATGCTGCGAAAAGCAATTAACTTTGGCCCAAAATATTTAATTGATTTGAGGAATCAGTGGCTGAATCGTTAATTGGGACGTTGCTAAGAATTCTGAGAAAATTATTGCCTATTCTTTGAAATGTCCTTTTAATTAAATTCCAACCAAAAATCAATTAAATGAATTGTTAATAAGTACTAATGAGTAATTGACTCATAATTTGATGCATAATGTTGACAGCTTTGGGCAAAATTTTTTCAGGGTACATTGAAGGGTATTTTGAAGGTACAGCCCAGAAAATTTGACAAAAAATCTTAAAAATATTTTGTTCCCAGATTTTAATGCAGATTTATGAAGAATCGATCCACAAATCGTTTAAGGTATTCCGTTCAAGAATCGGATGAATATTTCCTAAGATATGGCCTTCGCAGTGGGTCATACGGGGCTCCCCATGCATTTTGCACATTTTGAAGGGGACAGCCCAGAAAATTTGACAAAAAATCTTTAAAATATTTTGTTCCCAGATTTTGATGCAGATTTATGAAGAATCGATCCACAAATCGTTTAAGGTATTCCGTTCAAGAATCGGATGAATATTTCCTAAGATATGGCCTTCGCAGTGGGTCATATGGGGCTCCCCATGCATTTTGCACATTTCGAAGGGGACAACCCAGAAAATTTGACAAAATATCTTAAAAATATTTTGTTCCCAGATTTTGATGCAGATTTATGAAGAATCGATTCACAAATCGTTTAAGGTATTCCGTTCAAGAATCGGATGAATATTTCCTAAGATATGGCCTTCGCAGTGGGTCATACGGGGCTCCCCATGCATTTTGCACATTTTGAAGGGGACAGCCCAGAAAATTTGACAAAAAATCTTTAAAATATTTTGTTCCCAGATTTTGATGCAGATTTATGAAGAATCGATCCACAAATCGTTTAAGGTATTCCGTTCAAGAATCGGATGAATATTTCCTAAGATATGGCCTTCGCAGTGGGTCATATGGGGCTCCCCATGCATTTTGCACATTTCGAAGGGGACAACCCAGAAAATTTGACAAAAATCTTAAAAATATTTTGTTCCCAGATTATGATGCAGATTTATGGAGAATCGATCCACAAATCGTTTAAGGTATTCCGCTCAAGAATCGGATGAATATTTCCTAAGATATGGCCTTCGCAGTGGGTCATATGGGGCTCCCCATGCATTTTGCACATTTTGAAGGGGACAGCCCAGAAAATTTAACAAAAAATCTTAAAAATATTTTGTTCCCAGATTTTGATGCAGATTTATGGAGAATCGATCCACACATCGTTTAAGGTATTCCGTTCAAGAATCGGATGAATATTTCCTAAAATATGGCCTTCGCAGTGGGTCATATGGGGCTCCCCATGCATTTTGCACATTTTGAAGGGGACAGCCCAGAAAATTTGACAAAAAATCTTAAAAATATTTTGTTCCCAGATTTTGATGCAGATTTGTGGAAAAGAAATCGAAGGTGTAACTTTCAGCACGAGGGGCCCTGAAAGCCTTTCGTCGGGGGGGCCCAGTGGGCAAGCGCGCCTTTGCCCACCTGTTAAATCCGCCACTGAAAAGGAGATATTATATGGTTGTTTCTTAAAAATAGGCAACAATCTATGAAGTTTATAAATAACATTGTCCTAGATCAACTGGCTTGTGTCAGTGAGGGAATAACTGGCAATGGCTGGTTGCTACAGCACTTTAGTAAAAATAAAACGCGAGTTCAATTCCGGCTAAAAGCAACTAAACATATAATATGTAATTTATAAAACTAAGATATTTAAACATTTTTTTTATTTTTAAATATATTTTTTTTTATATTTTACTATTTTGAATTTAAGAAAGACTTATTTTTTTCAGATAAAGGTGTAAATCTACACAAAGATACTCAGTATCTTTGTTGCAAGGTTTGCACTGAAAACCCACCCTGTTATTTCGCTGTTCTTATAATTCTCAACTGCAGTTTCCGAAAGTGGTCGCATATAAAGGGGATAGTTTTCGTATACCGTTGGAAGTGTATTCTGTGATTGTTCTGTGCATCGATCGATATACAGGTGATTCATCTGTTTATCAGATCTGCTCAGTGCCGACCCTCCGTCACACCTTTGTTTCCCAGTAATTCTGCCTGGCATTGCTGTGGCGACATAGTTCGGTTCGGCTTTCCGATGCCTCCGCCGAGGGACGACGGGTCCTTCGGCGGCAGACGCACGGTTGTGTTCCAGTGATCCGTCTCCCCCCCTTCGCTCCGCGGATTTCGGTCAGGACATTTTGTCTACGACTGCAATACGATTTGAGCGGAGGCGGGCGGCGGCGCTGGTGCTGAAGCCGACGACAGTTGCCCGAGTCAGCCATTTTCAAAATTTCTTGGTTAAGTAACTTTGTAGCTTAGCTTCGGATTTTCGTAATATATTTGCTGTTCAGAACACTTCCATGTACGCGGCATTGCCGAGCAATTTGCCCATTCTTTTGCTGCGGGAAATAAATTTTCTAATATATTCAAAATATATTTTTAAATATACTGATACAATACATAAATCAAGATTCTTTTGAAGTTTCCTTTTCAGCTGGCTTGCATTTCTTTAATGATGTATTACACATTCCCGGTCGGATGTATTTGAAAACTGTAAATGTTCATGATGGTAGTTATTAATTACGTTCTATAGCTTATTTGTTACCTGCTAGCTTAGTCTTCTTTCTTTTGCAATTTATGTTTTTCATAAGGCAAACGTTCCGGGCATCCACATAGCACTCTCCATCGTACCCACAGACTGGCCTATAGTTAATTGAACACAAAACCTCACAAGCGACGGCAAAGGAAATAAATAAATTAAAACACAAAACTGCAAAGAGTTGCATTTTGTTTGGATCTACAAACCACACTACCAACTCCGTCAAGGTAGTCTGAATGCCAGTTTAAGTTATTTCCTTTACTGTCAATCGATTGGATACACATAGCTGTTATTTTATTAGAGAATAATAAGTAAATTTTTTTGATAAATTGGATTTTATCATGCCCCAAATTCTTCACAATTTAGGCATTTAGTATGAAATTTATTTGTGTGCAAATATTTTATTAAGAATGTGCGGAATACATGTTAAATTCAAAGGAAAAATGCTACAGTTAAAATATTTATGTTAAAGTTACCGCAAGAAAAATCTCAACTCAATCCCCGGTGGGTTTCCCGAATAAAAAAAAAATTTTGCCAAACAGTGACCAAAAGAATTCTTCTCGATTGTCCCAAGTTTTTTTTGTTGACAAGTTAAGATTCAGAAGGGCTTTAAGTTGGGTGTTGTTGGCTTACAGTTCAATGTACTTGATTAATTCCCATAAGACACAAACCAAAAACTTTTTGAAACTCTGGGCTGGAGAAAAATGTCACATGAATCTTTCACTTTAGACCTCTTCATTGCCGTAAGCGTGCCCCCTCGACGTTTAAAAAATAAATTATTTCTACACTTAAAAATACAAACGTTTTAGCTCAACAGTCAGTTAGGGTGTATGGAAAAGATTACTGAACTGAAAGAGTGTATGGGTTTTGCTTTAAAAAATAACACAATTTTAATTATTGTTTTTCTGACAAAAAGAGCAGACAGAGTCCCTATAAAAATAAATTAAAACAAAGCTGTCAGAAAATTTCGTCCCCATCGCTGGTACATTGTCGACCATTGCGAATCGATTGGTGCCGTGACAACTGTCGGTGAAATGCTTCCAAACTGTGTAATTCAGCGACTTAAGTTCGGTTAACCCGACCGTTCCGTTGCCAAACAAATTATTTGTGTTTTTTGTGGCTTTTGCTGTTGTTTTTGTTGGCGTAAATACTGCCACATGTCGGGGTGAACACCTCACCTGAAAAGATTAAAAGGACCAACGATGGCGGCTACAAAATAAATACCTTCATAGTTTGCCTTTCTCTTAACATAAGGACACTATTTAATGCGTTTAAATTTGCCATGGCTGCAACTTTTGGGACAAGTTTAATAATCCTATCAACACGAGCTTTGAAAACTACAAAACTGTACTGCATTTTGAGGCATCGATAAAACTTTGGTCGCTACCAAAAAAAAAAATTATATTTTCCGAGGCGACTGGCAAATGGCAAAAATTTCAGCAAACTGCGTAGCTACTAAAAGTTTCAGCTTTAACTGTCTGGATAGCGTTTATGCATAGTTGGATGAATAACCAAGCTGCTTTCTATTTAAAGAGTGATAATGGTACTAGGCTTAAGGAAACCTCAAGAATGTCTTTAAAAAAATAACACATGAGAGGTCTTTATATTCTTGCTTTTTTTGTGAGGGTGCCAAAAGGGATGGTTCTTTAACTTGAATCAATAAATTTTCATTTTTTTGACTCGTCTATTTATACACACATTTCTGAGTCAGTTATAAGCTTTGATGTTTGAACTCAGCCACAGATGAAGCATTTTTAGAAGAAAACAAATTAAGCATGCGCCACGTGTGACCGGTGCATGTGGGGGGGAAAAAATATTTTGCGGCTGCTCTTTTTTTATGAAAAGTTAGAACGGGTTCTTGTGCTCAAGTGATTTAATTTATGATGATGTCTTTAAGAACAGCGCGCCTGTGAGAGTTGGAATGGGATATTAAGCATTTACCACTTTGTAGCAATTTTTCTGACAACATGGCGTATGTGTAACATGCAGCTCATAACTTAAATCTCCGGGCACATTCATCTTTGTGGGTGTGTTTTTTTCGGACCTACTCTACCATTTGATATTCCCACAACGTGTCAACGTATTCAGGGTGTTCTTTGATTAAGACCAAGTATTTCACAGGCACATCCTGCGTCTTGCATGAAACTGAAAGTCATGTTTTTCATAAATTATATTAACATCACAACCGCGCTTGTGGTCGAATTACATTCTCTCAGAGGAATTTTTTTTTATTTATTTAAATTCTCTGTTGTTCTTTGTTGTCGAGACTGGAGTTGTATATTTTATGCTGGCTCTATTATGTAAGGGCACGCGTGCCGAAATTCTCGAGTAAGGTCTTGTATTTTTATGAAAAAGAGTTGGCAATAGAGAATTTTAATAATTCAAGGGAAGTAGTTATGACAAATTTCCGCATTCCGTAAACGAGAAGTTTTCCATATTCGAGGTCTGGTTGATGGAATTTAATAAAGTTTATGTTTTTCGAACTTAATTTCCAACTTTTTGTGTTATGATGGGATTTATTTTTAATACCCTTTTTTGATATTGCAACAAAGTACCTTCACTGTCTCAACTCCTTCGGTTTTCCCCTCAAATCCTGACAAATGCATCAGTACAATTTTTAAACATTTATTTTATTCTCGTTTCCCACTTCCCCAACACCCTCAAAACTCAATCAAAAAGTTCGATTGTTCGATTCAAAGGCCCGGCAACAACAATTTGTGTTTGGCTTGTCAACGGCTATAATAGCCATTTTTCGCCAATAAATAGGCCATTGAATTTAGCCTTTTGAACCATAAATATGGCAATAAATCAACTTCTGGGTTACTTTTTTGCACACGAAATGGGCTTCGTGCCGCATTAACAGGTTGAAAAGTTCTGAGCTTCGTTGTCAAGTTGCAATTTGCCAAACGAACGGCCAAAGAACTCTTCCTCCGGGGCGTGGGCGTGAGTAGCCCATAAAATGCATCAAACAATGCCAGAGCTTATAGCCTTTAAGCCACTCTGATTTATCAAAACACTGTTGTCGGGGAATGGGTGGAGCTGCAGTATCAACAAGGAGTTAATAATCCGTCAGGGTCGAATGTCAATTTCGGGATTTTCAAATTCAAACTGCCTAGCCGTTGGTGGTCGTAAACATTTTGTTACTGCCGCTGCTCTGCCAGACCATGAAACATTTTTGCCCAATACATTTTGCTCGAAAGGAATGTTTATGACTTGCAATTGGACGGGCCCAGCATAATGGAATACTTCATCGTATTGCTTGCCAGGAAAGATACCCAAGCGGTCGTAAACATGTTGGTTGAAGAATTCGTAATCAGAAAATCCTTGGCCGGAGGCTAGTGCGTCGGTTAATGAGATTGGAAATTATGCAAAAAGTATCTTCTCCGAAAATGTACTACTAAAAATGTTTAGCTACAAAATATTACAATCCTTCACAATAGATCCTCTCATATTTCAAAAAACTGTATTGCCCGTCCATGTAAATATATGCAAATTAAATGGCAGACTGTTACAAAAGGGTGTGAGTCCGACAACGCATAATCCTATCTATAAAAACACTTCTCCTAAACACATGTAAGCGGAAAGAAAAACAACCAGGAATAAGACTTGAAAGTGATGGCAAACAGCGCTTAAGATGCAACTTTCCCAGCACCGGAAGCAGCCATAAAAATGTTGCCTTGTTTATCCAACGAAAAAAAAGAAGGAAAAAAAAGGAATCTTCTGAAATACTTTTGGGCAGCAAGACGTGGCAAAAAATATTTCTGTTTACGTGGGCAGCAGCAATATGCAAAATAGCCGAGGACCATGGCCGACGCAGCGAGACAAAAAATTCTTTAAAGTACTTCTGGATACCTTACAAGTTCATAGACAATAATCTTGTAAAAACGTTCAATGTGATTATAAATTTTTTTATAATTAATAAAATTAGTTTTTAATAAGTGTAAAAATTCTATAAAACTTACATGGCAATTATTTAATTTCATATTCATGAAATTGTTTTCTCTTATAAACATGGCAGAATAAATATAAGTGGAACCGTTTGACCTTTTGATTATTATTGGCCCACGTCATGGGGTTCTGTTTGTCATAGAGTAATTCCATTGCGACTTTGGCTTCTTAACCTCCCTAGTTTATTTGCTATTGTGGCTGCTGTCGAGAAGCAATTTGCAGCATTTGCGGTCTGATGTCGGAGGTGTTCTACAAGCCGAGCACGTCTCGCTGCCCCTGTCAGGAAAAGAGAATGGGGCAGGAACTGTCAAGAGTCACCACAGGCTTTTAAAATGGGTGGCGTTTTGCTGAAATATTTTGGGGTCGGGCAATATAAGGAGCTTAGGCTTAAACGGTGAAAGTTGGTTGAGCAAAACTATATGGATCTCTTCTGAATAAGATAGTTAGCGACTCATTGATGCGGCTTACTGCATGAATAGTTCTGGATAGGCACCAATGGCTTCCCTCTTGAGATGGGATTCAAATACCCCTTTCAGGTCCCGAAAATTTAAGCCAGCTAGCGTGACAATGCCACACCACATGTCAACGGGCAACGCAACAATAAATTTTCCCATTTCACTTACGTTGCACTTACAACCTTTTTCAGCCGAAATCGCGAAACAGCCGCGAATATCTTTTTCTTAGCATGCATCAGGCAGCAAGTTTATTGAAATTTTATGCATTTCTGGCATTATAGTACAAGGACACTCGTGTTGTGGACGAGCCTCGTACGATTCTCCTCCTGCCACCAAAAAAAAGTTTTATTTTCGATACTGTTTGCAAGTTTGTCGCAGCTTGTCATCTGACTTGGGTGTGGTTTCGCCCCTCTTCTTGCCTGGCAGGAAACTTGATTTGAAAACTTTTATCCCGCCTGCTTGGTAACGTTCTGCAACCTTCTAAGGGTATTTTGATTTCTTGATAAATAATGTCATATCATTATGGTCGGGGTATGCTTTATCTAATTGCAATAATAAAGTTAAAACACATTGTAATAGGCGCTCTCATTTATTTATAATATTTTCTGTGTGTAGATTATACATATTCGTTAACAAGTCTTAGGCCTAAAATTAACATGGGTGTTCTAATTTTGATCTTCGATATCCAAAATCCTCCAGGGGTACGATATGAACTCAAAGTAGGCGGGAGCGTCCATTACCGCTTACTTTGAAGTATTTCTCATGCTTTTATTAAAAAGCAGAGGCAATCCTTTTTATTCTTGCTGTGTACTTAAAAACTGCATCGTTGTGTAGATATATCCGACGTATTGTCAAATTCAAAAACTGCATCGTGTGTATATAGTTCGTATCCGATGTATTCTTGAATCGGTCAGAAGCGACCATTTAATGTTTATTTTTTTGGTGTCTTTTGCAATTTTGGATTCGAAAGACCAAAATTAGGGAAATCTGCAACATTTATGAAGATTATCCTACGTTGTGTATTGTTTGCAATGCTCCAGCTCAATTTCTTAGAATTCTAACCGTGTTTCATTTCCTTTCCTGTGTGACTTCATATATTACGAAATAATGTGTGTGTCAGCCATAATTGCGTATGAATTAAAACTGATTACTTCTTCTTTTTATCCTTGTCTTTGTCTTTGTCCTTCTTGCCCCCGGTTCCAGGGGGACAAGAGTCCAAGTAGCCGCCATTCATCATGCGATCGAAAGCATCCAAAGGATCATAGTTCGCATAAAAGGTCTTACACTTCCTCTTACGTGGCACGTTACGGAAAGTGTACATTATAAGAGGAGCAGTCAGGGCCAAAATACAAGCCACTTTCACGTTGCCCATAGTTTTGTGAAAGTGGGAATTGTGTATAGGAAAAGAAATTTCCGGGGGCTAAAAGAAAAAAAAAGAATAAATAAAATTAGAAAAAAAGAAAAAATTAAAAATTTTATTTTTTTCTTACCTTATGACTAAACGGCATTTTCGATTTAGTTGTTTGCAGCTCAATGAAAAGTGAAGGACTGAAATAAAACTAGACTTTCAATTACTGACTGCTTGAATTCAGCCAACTAAGATCCCTACACGATACAAAAATGTCAGGTTGTGAGTGAAACAGTGTTGACTAATAGGTTTGTTGTTATCCCTTTAACGGTGACTAGGGTTTAATTTCCTCCTTTACTAGCAACACACTATACACTACACAATGTTTTCTATAGTTGTTCGCCATATGTTTCTGTAATATACATTTTAATATGTTATATACATTTTAACCTTTAACTATTTTGTTTATTTTAAGTAATTCATACTTGTTTTCTTACCAAGAAAACAAGTCAAATAAAATGCCAATGAGTTGGCTATGAGGCGCTATTCGATTGCTTTGTTTTAAAAGCTCTGATGAATCTGATTTTTAGGGACAAGTTTGGACAATACGTTGGTGCAATAAAATGTTAAACAATAAAAGTAGAATAAAGTACAACAGCTGAATAACTTTGTTTCAATTGAAATTAAGTGACAAGGCCATTACCTTGCCGGTCTGGCGCACCTGGAGCCTCGTATAATTGTGTGTTGGGAATTTAATAAAAAGTTGTTTGGCTTGCATTTTATGATGTTCGCCATCAGATGTCTGGGGATACCAGATTTGCATTTAACAATTAAATTGGCAAAAAAATACGCTGAACGTCGTCTTTGGTTTTGGGCCACTGACCATTCAACTTTGACCAGACAGAGACGTTTTTAAATGTATCTTAGAGAGAAAATAACATGGCAGCACTTTGTATAAATAAAAGATGTTATATCCTTGGTGTTTCTTAAAAGGTGAATGCCTTTCGTCTCAATTCATTAAAGTTTTGTGACTAATAGACACAAAAATAGCTTGGTTGCGGCAAAAAAGAGTTTAATCTATTTTTGACAAAGTCGATGATGGAAAAGCCCTACTATCCATTCAATTCCAATTAATTCTTCTTAATAAATATGATTTTTTTGCGTGCAGGAACTTCCTTCTCGGAATTTCGTGCATCCATTTGCACGAATAGAAAAGTCCTTTGTACACAAGGGGAACCGGGGCATAAATGGTGCAGTGAACCCAGTCATCCATCCATCGACTTGCAGGCGTGCAGAAGGCCAGTGAACCATCAGCACTTGTGGTGTTGTCATTATTATCTATTAGTTTTGGCCAAAGGGAAGAAGGACACGCCCCCAATAACCGCCCACCACCATCAACTAATTGTAAGTTATTGACACGAAACGTGCCACAGGGCAGCCAAGATGATGACGATGACTACCATGATCATGAAGATGGGGGTTCCATCAAACGCCCACCTGTAGCCTGTGGGACGAACTGCTAGGACCGCCAGTTTTCTGTAATTACAAACTTCCTCCGGCTATTGACAATGACCCAATACTGTGTACGGTTATTAAAACATCAACATAATTCAATTATAAATGATTGTTGAACCAGCGAGACTCGGTTTTTTGTTTATATTTAAACGGGGGTTTAATTATAAACTGAGGGGTAAGTGGGCCATATATTTTTATAGCATTTTCTTTAAGAAGAATATCAAGGTTTTTAAGAAAGGAAAGGGCTCTTAAAGAAAACACTACTAATCCTATTACACATACATTTATAAACAGCCCCCAAGCTATTATTTTATAAGGATACTGTATTGATCCTTTGGATAATTGTTAAAAACTCTTCATTAAAGACCACTCTTCCTTATTGGCTAGCCAAAAACTCTTCCTTATTGGCTTATTAAGTTCCAAATTTTAATTATTTTATTCGAAAGCTATGAAAGTTATTAGGAAGTTGGAAATGCTTTAAGGAGCTAGAAAAAGCCCCAAGGGCAACTGGTATTGATGATGTGTTGCCATTAAGCGGCTAGCAGCTGAAACTTGGCCCAAACTTTCCATCTCGTCACTAATTAGAACAATCCCGAAACGGCAGGCGAGTGAGCAAGTGTTGAGCTTGCCAAACGAAACCAAACCAAGCCAAAACCAAACTTTGGCACGTTACGACCCATTCACGAGCAGCCATCTAATGAATAATGGCAGCCCAGAGCGGCATAAAAGACGGGCCAGAAAGGCAGAGGAGAATAGCATTTGCGTTTACCCTGCGTGTGCAAATCAAACACGGCCTTAAAGAGCAGACAAGTGCCGGGGCGGATGGAGGAAGGCCTAAATATCCTCAGGCATCGACAATTATACAAGCGATTTGCTGCAAGTTCCTTTTTGGGCCAAACTTTGGCGCAAGTCCGGTCGGCAAACTTTTCTCCCACAAACAGCGGAAAGGTGGTATTTTTTCCTACCTTCCTTCTTTTTTTCATGTCTACTGTGTGGGGCATATGGTTTGCATACTTTGCTTTGGTTTACCAACGCAGCATAGTTCAATGTCGTCTGTCACGTTTGCTTTCATTCTGCAAGGCTTTTGGCCTTTGTTTGAAGTTTTTTTTTTCGCATGTCTTTGACGCTGCATCTGCATCTGCCACCTCGGCCATGTTGTCCCTTATTCTTTCAGGCTGGCTTCCTATCTTGCATTTTATACGTTCATTGGCTTTGATGTTCCAACTGGAAAGTCTAATGAACCCTTTGGCGAGCTCTGCATTCAGCTTTAACAAATATCCAACACATTGAAGCCCATAGATAACATGCGCAGCCCTGTGACTTGATTTTAATAGTTTCTTTGTTTAAGGTCCTGAAGATAAACTTAATGTTTTCCACGCCCTCGCCTGATGAATTGCTTGGCGTTTTGGCATCCGAGATTTGTCTGTGGTATGGCACCATCTCCAGTGGGTTGACTTTGTTGATTAAATGCGCGAAAAGCTATATCCAGTATTTAACTAATGGCGAAGGATTAGGGCGTTCCTTTCCTCAAAGACTAGACTAGCTAGCTAGTTATTCATGCAAAGTATGTGTATTTTGAGTGGTTTAAAATAGCAGTGGTGATTAAACAAAGCTAGGAGGCTAATAAAAGTATATTGGGCTCTTTAAATAAAAACTAACATTCATGGGACGAATTTTTCTTATAACTGGTATTTAATACTAGCAATAACTATTGCATACTTTTTAAATATTTAAAATTGTTATTTAAAGCAAAATACACTTATTATTCCCGATGGTTTCGTCTTAACTCGAGTAAATTCTTGTGACTCTGTTAGTTTTCATTCAAGACTTGCGTCATGTGAGCAAATTTACCAGAAACTAGATGCATTGTTCAATTAATTGCCTTTGATGAGTTACTGTTCTGTTCCTGTTTGGCTTCTTCTGCTTGTTTAACCAACCGCATTGTCGACTGGGCGGAGCGCTGTTGGGGCAAAATCAATTAAATTTCAAGTGAATTGTGCCCGAGTTGGTAACAATTGATTTAATTCCTATGCGTTGCCACATGCTGCGTTTTAAAATTAAATTTGCATTCAAAGTCCAATGGAACTTTTAATCTTTATTTTTTGTGCCACTCTCTACTTTGTTCGGTTCTAAGCTCAATGTATACATACTTAAATTATTTACCAAAAGCTTACCGGTTACATTTTAATGCTTTCGATTCCCAAGTATTCACCGATTCCATGTCCTGTCTAGGACTTACGACTTTTCTACTTGAACTTGGCTATGGGGCAAAAAACTTCTGCATAGTGGTTGCTCATGTTAAAAAAAAAGTAAGAAAAATCGAGTACAGAAAACTATTTTCAGTTAAAGCCTTAGACGTTTTACTCTTACAATTGAAAATGGTATATTACATGTGTTTGCTCAAGAGTTTTTAAGTAAAATAGAAATATATCTCAGCCCTATAAAAGGTAATATTGTTTTGGAACAGGGTATAAATACTATTAACATGATAGCCACAGAAAGGTGTGAATATCATTACCCATTTTTTTTATTTTAATCTAAAATACCATTCCCTCTCTTATTTTTTTCACCCACGGCCGTTTCTATTGAAAGGATTTCAGGCGGTTTTGTGGCTTTCCATTTACAAACATTGGCCAATTCTTACGGATCCAAACTTTAAACACATGCACTTGGCGGCTTTGCTTAATATCATGGAAAATGGGGGCGACTTTGCAAGAAGCCTCCAACCAGACTTACTATCGACGATTGATTTTTGTTTGTAAACTTTTATGCAAGCAAATCTTCTCCAACAGACTGCAGCTTCAGCTTTCAGAGTTGTTCAGTTTTCAGTATCAAGTTCACGTTGCAACCGCCACTTGAGCCAAGGATTCGTCTCAGGCATAAAAATGGCATCCATAACTTAACTTTAAGTCCTTTTGCGGTAAATTTCCTTTCTTTTTCTTTTGAAGTCGTCCCTCTGGTTGTGAAATATTTCAGTTAAAAAAGTAAAAATGGTTATTTCCACTGTTTTCGATTTCAATGACAACTGGAATATGGAAATAATCTGAGCCGAGATCTTATAAATTGTTTTTAATGAAATTCGAATATAAAAATTGATGTATATTTTTGAATTTAAAAATTATACTTAATCTGAATTTTAATCTAAATCTACAATTATAGGTCAACTTTTGAGTGTTTAAAGAAGAGGAAAGAAGAGGACTTTTAGGAAATGCTCACGTACTGATCCGAACAAAATGGCGAATTCAAATATGGCGAATAGCTATCATTAAAAAACTTAAAAAAAATTACATATTTTATGAATTTTTTGCGTATAATAATTTTTAATTTTTAAATAAATGCTGTAAAATTAAAAAAAAATAGTTGATTTTAGGAATCATTAATTGCTTTGAACAAACTTAAAAAATAAAACATATATCCGATATTTGCTCACCCCCATGGAGGGCGCGTGCGTGGTGAGCGAGTTTGAGAAGAGGTGACCACAAAAATAACCGGCAAAATGCGCGCCAACGTGAGAACAACAACACTAACAATAACAACCGCAACAGCAACGGCAACAACTTTGCCACTAGTTCAAGTTCAATGCAACAACAGCAGCAAAAGGACATCAGCACGTGACGCAAATGTGAAGCAAGCGTGCCACAAGCAGAGGGGGTCCAGCAGAATGGCTGTTAATCTAGCAGAGCTCTGTTAACCATAGTGGCATGCCACCAGCCGAATGCCACC